AAATTAAATTAGTTTTCACAATAGATTAATCAATCTCTTTGTGTTCAACCTAAGACTTACTTCTATACTAGTATTTTATTAAGTTTTAATTATAAATATTATTAGATAATGTGCATTTAAATACAACGACAAGTGCACACCACCTTTATGGCCTCCTTTGCGGCTTTTGTATTGTCCCTATTCCCACCTGCCTCAAAGCTCTTACTAGATGATGTTCTACCTCCTCCAATGCCTCTCACGACATGCCACTCCATTACGGCATAACTCACTCGGCCTGCTTACACATTCAACGACCACAATTACACATCATGGACGTTCGGCTTCGAACTCTTTTTGCAATTCCATTGCCTCTTTCATCATCTCACGGACAACTCTTCAGCTCTCCTTGACCCTTCTTTTGCCTACTAGATGCAAATTGACTCAGCCGTTATCACTTAGATGCTTCATAGCATCGAGTAGAGCATCACTGAGACTCTCTCTCGTATCAAGTGAGTGCACCTTCTATGAGATAATTTGGAGACAATGTACGCCAAACAAATGAACATCAGTTGAGTGGTGGAGATCTTCGAGTCTCTCTTCAACTGCAAGTAGGGTGATCTCTCTCTCTAGGCACACTACAGTCACTTGTAAACCCTCATTCAAGAGGTGGACATTTATCAACCTCCCACCTTGAACCTCCTAATGCTCCAGCACTATCGTGAGTTTTATGCTAGTGTGTATTTTAGTAGACTTCATCCTTCCACTACATCCTAGATCTGTAGTTCTGTTCTCTCTAGTGATTGGGTACCCAGTCTCACCTTCATCTTCTCTATGGCACTTCAGGTCATTACTGATACATCCTTGCATTCTTCACCTTCCTCCACAGCTGCCATGACTTTCCCTTCTGCTATGGTCATCGTCACTCCTTGGGCTTAGAATGATGGCCCATCTCCCTGCTTTGAAGGCGGTTGTCCTCCTCATGGAAAGGCAGCAACTCCTTTCCCCATGTCCCTATTGTGGCAAGTAGAACTATTTGGCCAACAAATACTGGAAGCAATTTGACAAATCTGCTTCTGTCTAGTCGACGATGGCTCTTTCAGCTCCCGTCTCACCTGCTCCTTTAAATATCCCTGGCCCGACTTTCAACATCAACTTGATGTCTGCAGAGTATGACACATTTTGCCACTACATCAATCTCTATAGTCTTAGCAGTGCCTCCTCTTTCGCCAACCTCATCTCATTTCCAACTCCCTCCACACTAGGTACACATGTTCTCCTTGCTTCCTCTTAATCGCCATGGATTATCAACTTTGGGGCCTCCACTCATATGACTTGTACTTCATCCTTTTTATCTTCATATCAACTTATCCCTTCCCATCCCTTTGTCACCATTGTCGATGGCCGGACTTGTTCGGTCAAAGGTCGTGGCACTACCCTCGCCACTTTTGACCTTCCCTTCCAGCAAGTCCTCCATGTTCCTAACTTTCTTACGAACCGTCTTTTGATTAGTGTCATTACTTGTGCCCTTGATTGTACTATTATCTTTTTCTTTTTCATTGCACTTTCTAAGATCTCCACACCGGGTGGAGGATTGGATTGGTTTGGGCCATAAGAACAAGTGAGGTGTCTATGAGCTCATTTCTATTGAATCCTCTTCTAACTTTCAAGCCCTTTTTGTTGCCTCTACCACCACTTCTTCCCTCTTATGACATCGGCAATTAAACTATCCCTATTTTGAGAAATGTAAAAAAATCTTATCGTAATTTTCTCTTAAGAAGTTTGTGTGCAAGTCATGTTAGCTAGGTAAACACCACCGTTCTTCCTACCTCATACAAGATAGTATTCCTTCCTCTACCCCTTTTGATCTCATTCATTGTGATGTATGAGGTATATCTCCTACACGACCATTTTGAGGTTGTCACTATTGTTACCTAATTTATCACGGAGGTCATCACTCAATATTCTACTATGCTCGAAATTCTTCGCACCGACAACACCCTCGAGTTTGTCCAAACCTCTCTCTAAATCTTTTGCGTCGATCGTAGCACTATCTATCAAACCACTTATCCTTATACCTTGTAGCAAAATTGTATCGTTGAACATAAATATCACCAACTCCTTAATATCACTTACACCCTACTTCTTAAGATGAATGTCCCACATTATTTGTGGACTAACACTCTCATGACGGCCACTTACCTCTAGAATCAACTTTCTTCCACTCCTCTGAGCAGAGTCATTCCCCTTCAACACCTCCTACCTACCTCACCCCTATTTTTCTTTCCTCGGGTCTTTGAATGCATTGTCTTCATTTACGATCACTCTCTTTTCCTATCCAAACTCACCCCTCGTGCTCTCAAAAGAGTCTTTGTCAGCTACTCCCAAACATAGGACTATCAGGTTTACTTTCTTGACACCCATCGCTACATTATATTGGTTGACGTCACCTTTCATGAGAAGTCTCCATTCTTCTCCTCTACTTTTCCTCCTCCTCCTTGAGCCGCCGCCTCTCCTCCACTAGACTTTCCCCTCTTTGTGATCCTTGCAAATCTGTCTCATTTGACTCCCTCTTGTCCGTCCTCTCCACCATCACATCTTCCTCTTGATTCCTTATCTCTATCGACCTCTTCCGCTTTGGCTGCAAATCCATCATCCCCCTCCTCCACTGAGCTGCATGTGCCTTGGACTAACACCCCCAGTGCTCCTCAAGATGATCTTCATCTTTTCACCGCCTTGTACAAAGGTACTTGTGGTTGTACCTAACACCTCATCTCTAACTTCGTTTCCTATGATTGTCTTTTTCCCTCTTTTCATACCTTTACCCTTTTTATGGCCTCCGAGTTGATTCCTTGCTCCTATGTTGAGGTGGCACAAGTATCTGAGTGGAAGGCGACTATAGACTCAAAAGTAAATGCCTTGGTATCTCAGGAGACTTAGACACTAGTTTCTTATTCGACAGATGCCAATATTGTCATGTGTAAATGGGTGTTCACACTCAAATACCATCCATATGGCACTATTGGACCTCACAAATCTCAGCTGGTTGCTCGTGACTTCACACAAGCATATGTCATCACTTCCATCCGAGTGTTCCCCTCTCTCGTCATAAATTAGGCATGGTCTCTCTACTAGTTAGATGTTTCTAACATTTTCTCTATGGTGATCTCAATGAGGAAACCTTTATACAGCAACCTCCAAAGTATGTTGCTTAAAAGGAGTCATCTAAGGTGTGTTTCTTGCAAAATGTAATTTATGGGCTCAAGTAGAGTCCATATGCTTAGTTCGCCAAGTTCAGTGGTCTTCTCACCACATTTAGCTTCTCATCATACACTATAGATCGTACTATGCTCACAGAGAAGACTAAGGGTGACTTACTCATTCTTGCAGTCTATGTCAATAACATTCTTATGATTGAGAGTGATGAAGTCGGCATTTATGTTACCAATACTTATTTGCAACAACACCTTAGCATATTGGTGACTTGAGGACTCCAAAGTATTTTCTTAGGATCGAGTTTGCATACTTGGACGGGAAGCTCACCATGACCTAATAGAAGTATACTTTCAACATACTTCAGGAGATTAGACTCCTTAAGTACAAGTTGGAGACTTTGCCCATAGAAATCCATACATAATTTTGAGATACTTCCTCTCCACTCCTTGAGGACGGTAATCAGTACAAGTGATTGTTGGGCAAATTAATATATCTCATGGTCACTCGCCCTGACATTGTGTATACAGTTAGTGTTTTGAGTCAGTTTATATAGGAGCCACGATGAGTTCACTAGGAGAGAGTTCTACGGGTTCTAATATACGTCAAGCAAGCCCTAGGGAAGGTACTCATTATTGGCAACATGACCATCTCCGTGTTGAAGCCTAGTCTGATGTTGGGTATGCATGTGACAAGGGCAATCAAAAATCTACTATAGATTATTGCACATATGTTAGAGGTAACCTCGTCACTTGACGGTCTTAGAAATAAAGGGGGGTGTCCTACTCCAATACAAAGTTTCGAGTATCAAGCCATGGCTGAGACTGTGTGAGAGATGGTATGGCTTCGATCACTTCTCAAAGATCTCAACATTTCTTTTCCTTCTCTAATACTCATGTATTGTGACAATCAAGTTGTTATCTTCATTATTGGCAATCACACTTTTCATGAGTATACGAAACATATTGAGATTGACTATCACTATATTCAAGATACAGTTATGTTTGATATCATCTCTATTTCTTATGTGACTTCATCTCATTTACTCATGGACATCTTTATGAAAAGTCTAGTCAAGATCTCCTATGATGCCACATGTACCAAATTAGACATATTTGACTTATATGCTTCAGCTTGAGGGGGAGTGTTTAATAATGTCATCAGACTCTCAACTCAGTAAGGCCCATTATCTCTATCTCATCTTCTCCGTTTTTATATAGACACATATAATCTTTTATTCTTCTCAATGGAATCTAGAATTTTCTCTTTTATTGTCAACATAAAAAACTTATAAAAATCTCATTTAAATGTAAGATTACTTATATGTGATATGTATTTTACCTGAATATTTCAAGTGTTATTGTCTATGCATTCTAATTTCCTTTTTGCTTTTGGAGCCTAACTTATAGGCGACCTAATGGTTGCCACAGCACACAGAAAAAATTGACAAGAGTTATTGATATAAATACTTTTGCCTTAAAATAGTTCAGCAATAATTGAATATTCTCGTATATCAACCATCAATTTCTCTAAAATTTCACCACCTATATATATATTTTTTAATATTCGTGAAACCCGAAGCTCCCGGAGACCTCCCCCGCATAGAAGATCCTGAATAACCTAAAGGTTTCGCTTTCTTTTTGTGTGGCCAAGAGATCGGATAGGGTACCGTGTGATTCCTCTTGCTCTTCCCCTACCACACCCTCACCCGATATCCCCCTCCCCCCTCTTCCACAGACCCAGAGAAACCAGAGAAGGGAGAGAGAGGGAGAGAACAGAGCAGAGGAGGCCAGCTAGAGAGGGCCAGATCCATGGCGAGTGCAGTCATGGCTTCCTGCAAGACCCCATCGAGGATCGTCCTATCTCCCGTCGCCTCGGCGTCCAAGCAGCCGCAGCAGGTTTCACCCAACAGATTTCAGCAGCTGAAGCTCGCCGTGCTCTCCCTCCAGCGCCAGCACGGAGGCAAGGCGGCCGCCGTGGCGGCGGGTCTGGTGGCGGCGTCTTGGGGGGCCTCCCCTCTCCCCGCCCTCGCCGCGGAGATCGAGAAGGCGGCGCTGTTCGACTTCAATCTGACCCTCCCCGCCATTGCCTCCGAGTTCCTTCTGCTGATGGTGGCTCTGGACAAGATCTATTTCACGCCTCTGGGTAAGTTCATGGACGAGCGGGACGCCGCCATCAGGGCGAAGCTGGGAGATGTCAAGGACACCTCTTCGGAGGTGAAGCAGATGGAGGAGCAAGCGGCGGCGGTGATTAAGGCGGCGCGGGCGGAGATATCGGCGGCGCTGAACCAGATGAAGAAGGAGACCACCGCGGAGCTGGAGGGGAAGCTGGCGGAGGGGAGGAAGCGGGTGGAGGCGGAGCTGGCGGAGGCCCTTGCCAACCTGGAGCGCCAGAAGGAGGACACCATCAAAGCTCTCGATTCCCAGATCGCCGCCCTCAGCGACGAGATCGTCAAGAAAGTCATCCCCGCTCCGTGAGGGAAACCCCCCGAATCTCCTTCCTCCCTCCTTCCCTTTTGTACCTCCCCTGTTTCTCTTCTCCTCTTCATCGCCGCCATCACCGTCACTGCAATTCGATCTGTAATTAGCTGGTGATATGGTTTTTCTCATACTTCAGAAAGAAGTTCGATTTGAGTTTTACGTTCGCCGCCGCTTTGAAAGCTCCTCCCTCTGCAAGATGAATACGCACCCACCCATGAAATATGCAAAAATCGAGTCTTTACGAATTGAGATCATTGACAATGTAGGACCTGTTTGTTCAACATAAACATCCTCTCTGTTGGCTTTGCAAAGTCAGATCCACACCAAAACTCTCGGATAAAAGAAGAGTCAAGGAGAAAAATGAGAAGAACTATAATTGATCAAAAGTATGTTCCGTTCTTCACAGTCAATATGTTGAACACATAGCCCCTTATAAAGGGAAGCCAATCATTGTAGGAGAGAGAGACACCACACAATTAACACTACGCTGAGTTAGCTTGGTGTTCATGTTGGCACCATCCTCGCCGTTATAACTCTCAACGATAGATGGCCCCGATCAATCTTGCAAACAGAAAATAATTACCTGGAAGAAGGGAAAATGCTCAAATCAGTTTCGCTAAAGTATTTCCTAGAGACTGTTATTTGTGATGTTATACGATGAGACTGGATCAAGCCCTTCAATCTCCCCCTTGTTCCAGTTCTTCCATATGGACATCTTTGATGCCTAGGCGCTCCCGCATCTCCACAAATTTTAGCCTTCCGAGTGACTTGGTGAGGATATTCACCAATCGATCCTCAGTCTTCACATAGTTCACTAAGATCTTCTTGTCTTCTACACACTAACGAATAAAGTGATAACATTTGTCAATGTACTTAGTCCGACTATGATGCACCGGATTCTTACTTAGGGTAACGGCGGATTTGTTATCCATAAGAAGCTTCATAGACCTGAAGATTAAGCCACACACCCTGACATGCGGCAGTAGTAGCAACAATATACTCTGCTTCACATGAAGATAAGGCTATTGACTTCTGCTTCTGAGAAGCCCAGCTAATCGCCATCTTACCAAAGAAAAAGACCTGCCCTGAGGTGCTTTTTCTGTCTTGCACATCACCAACAAAATCGTTGTCACTGTAACCAATTAATTCGGCCATTGTATGTCCTTTTTCATAGACTAAACCAATTGTATGTCCTTTTTCATAGACTAAACCATAGTAAATTATACCTTTCAAGTATCTTAGAACGTGCTTGATAGCCATGAGATGTTCTGTTGGGTGTTCTATAAACCTGCTCAAAAATCCCACAAAATATGTCAAATCAAGACGTGTGTGAGTCAAGTATCTTAAGCTTCCAATGAGGTGACGAAAATAGGTAGAATTAACTGATGTGCCTCAATTTAGTCCACTAAATTTGACTTTGGCTTCAAGTGAACCTTGCACTGGATTATACTTGCCCATCTTTGCAAAATCTAGTACTTTCAGTGCATAAGTTCTCTGTGGCAGAGTAATATATGCTTCTTTCTGAACCACTTCGATGCCCAAATAAGAACAAAGGTATCCAAGATCACTCATCTCAAAGAAATGCTTCATTTCTTCTTTGAAATCGCTAATGCCGCTATCAGTCTCACCTATAACGATAAGATCATCCACATAAACACAAATGATCAAGTGAACTCTGTGAGACGTTTCAAGTAGACCACTTGCTCATGCTTACTTCTCTTGAAACCGAGTGAGATTAGACAATTATGAAGCTTGAAATACCATGCGCGTGGGGCTTGCTTGAGCCCATACAACGCTTTCTTCAGCTTCAGAACACAACCCTGTTTATTCTTCACGATAAATCCTTCAAGTTGTTTGACATATAATTCTTCCTTCACATCTCCATTTAGAAAGGCAGATTTCACATCTAGATGATGCACTGCCCCTCTATTTTTAGCTGCAATGGCAATCAGTACACAAATTGATTCAAATCTAACCATTGGAGCAAATACCTCATCGTAGTCTATGCCATGCTTCTGGGAGTAACCTTTCATGACATGTCTTGCCTTGTGTCTCAAGACCTCTCCTCGAGCATTTTCTTGAGCTTAAAGATCCACTTAATCCCAATTGGTCTGCAGTCAGCCGGAGGTGTGACCAATGCCCATGTTTGATTCCGATCTATGGCTTCCATTTCTTCTCTCATCGCCTTCCTCCACATTTCCTCTCGTGATACTTCATCATAAGTCACAGGTTCCTCATGAGAGAGCATACAATCTCCATCCAATTCAGAAGACATTGGACTGGTCTCGATGTATAAGTGAGCCAGAGATTTGAATCTTTGTGACTGACTTTCTCCAGAATCTGAGTGTGTAGTAGTAGTCAACTCTTGAGACTTAAGAGTAGCTCTCTTCATCTTCATCCTCGGGGGTAACATTCTCATCCAGCCCCTACTCAGTGGGAGAAATAGGAAAAAATGTAAGCATAGGAACAGTTTCACCTTTGTTTTCCCAATTCTACTGCTCGTTTTTTTCAGAAACGACATCACGACTGATGTGAACTATGCCTCTGATCAGATCAAAACATCGATAGGCCTTTGAGCCAATTTTTTATCCTATGAACACCATAGGAATGCTTCGAAGCTTCTGCTAGGGACCTTTGGTGCATTTCACATACACGAGTGATCCAAACACTCTTAAATGGCCAATGGAGGGCTTTCGGCCAGTCCACTCCTCGTATGGGGTTAACCCCTATAGACTGCAAGTAGAAGCACGATTTAGTAAATAAACCGCAGTATTTACGGCTTCACCCCATAGTTCACAAGGTAAGTCTTTGTCCTTCAGCATACTACGAACTAAGGACATAATTGTCTTATACTTCCTCTCTATGATCCCATTTTGTTGAGGAGAATATGAGGTAGTCAACTGTCTTTTAATGCCTTGTGACACACAAAAATTAGTAAATTCGTCATATACAAATTCTCCTCCCTTGTCTGATCGAAGAACCTTGATTTTGGTGTTCTTTTCAGCCTCAGCTAAAGCCTTAAATCATTTGAATTCTTGGAATGCATCAGATTTGTTCTTCGGTAGGGCCACCCACAATAACCGAGAATAATCATCCACAATTAAGAGAAAATAGCGACTTCCCCCTAATGTGGATGGTGAGATTGGGCCACAAGTATCCATGTAGACAAGCTCGAGAGGTGCTAAGGCTTTGAAAGTCAACGCTCTAGGAAATGGGGTGCAAGCTTGCTTTCCTACAAGACAGCTTTGGCAAACTTGATTAGGAACCTTGATCAGTGGAAGTCCCTCCACTAATTCTTTACTCGACATTTCCTTTAGCGAGTGAAAATTCAAGTGGCCAAATCTCGAATCTCATAGCTGACTTGAATTTTCATCTCCTTTGGAGAGTAGGCACTATTCTATCACATGAAGCTTGAGTAGAGATAGCCTCCCCTTTGTGTGATCAACTTCAACTAATAATGCTCCATCACAATCAAAAATAGTCAACCATCCTCCAGACATGACCATCCTAAAACCTTCTTCATCTAACCTGCCCCTACTACGAATATTAGCACATAATTTGGGTACAAACAGTACATTACTGAAGAGCATTCTCTCCCCATCTTGCTGCTGAAAGACGACTTTGCCTCTGCCTCAAATTTTCACTCGAGAATTGTCACCAAATTTAACAAATCCGGAGGTTGATTCATCAAGGTCTGTGAAGTAATTTCTTCTTTTGGTCATATGATTCAAGGCCCCGGTGTCAAGATACCACAGTTCTGGATCTTTGAAATCAGTCTGTGAGCTTTGAAGTAGAAATTCACTCTCCACTTCCTTGATTGCCATCAGTAGAGAGGACGTTGCTGCCGAAGCAGAAACTGTTGCCGCCACCTAAGTGGACTCTGCCACATATGCCCGATCATCCCTCTCTCTCTTTGCACTACGGCATTCATATGCAAAATGCCGATACTTCTGGCAATTATAGCGTTGAATATGGAACTTGTCAAAAAAATTCTTCTCTTCATCGAACGATTGTTGACGTCCTTGGCCACGACTTCTGCCACGCCCTATACCGCGACTGCGATGACGCCCTCTTCCGCGAGATGAAGACTCCTCCTCACTCGACATTTTGACTTTGCTCAATGCTCTGGCAAGTAATGCTTGCTCCTCTTCACAAGACTCGCATTCCTTAAGCTGCAGTTCGTGCACTGTGAGAAAGCCAATTACTTCATCGAGGCTCATCTTGTCTAGATCTCCATACTACTCCATAGACAGGGTGAGTGCGTCAAATTTAGAAGGCGTTGCCCTCAAAAATTACTGCCAACTTCGTGTTCCTCCATTGTCTCTCCCAAGTTCCGCAACTCAGAGACGATTCATGTGAATTTCATCGCGAAATCTACTTCTAAGTCATTCTTGGCCATTGTGAGAATTTCGTACTCAAGCTTCAAACCTTGGATGCGTGACTGAATCACTTGGTCCATGCCGAGATTCTCTTGCCCAAGAATCTCTTAATTTTCTGTAGCCGTTTTCTTGGCATCAAGTACCATCAGCAAGTCTTTTGGTACCGCACTGATGATTGCCAATAACGCCAAATGATCTTTCTTTTTCGACACATTCTCTCCAACGATTGCCTGCCAAAGGTCATGAGAGTCTAAATATACCTCCATAGACATTGACCGTACTCTGTAGTTGGTCTTCGAGAGCTTGAGGGATGGTGCTAAGACCGCCATCTCTCCTCCACGCTCACCAGAGGTGCACGCCTCACTAGCCTTCTTGGCCATCTTCTTGATCCTATGGACTCGAGTGGCTCTGATACCACTTGTTGGCTTCACAAAGCCAGATCCACACCAAAACTCTTGAATAAAGGAAGAGTCAAGGAGAAAAATGGGAAGAACTGTAATTGACCAAAAGTATGTTCCGTTCTTCACAGTCAATACGTCGAACACATAGCCCCTTATAAAGGGAGGCCAATCATCGCAGGAGAGAGAGACACCATGCAACTAACTCCACGCTGAGTTGGCTTGGTGTTCGTGTTGGCACCATCCTCGCCATTATAACTCGATGATAGACGACCTCGATCAATCTTACAAATAGAAAATAACTACTCCAAAGAAGGGAAAACGCCCAAATCAGTTTCGCTAAAGTATTTTCCGGAGACTAGTATTCACAACGTTACATGATGAGACTAGATCAAGCCCTTCACTCTCTTCTCTCTCTCTCTCTCTCTCTCTCTCTCCAGGCTGGAGGTCGTGACCAACGAGGTAAAGCCCCCGCAACAGTTCCAATGAAATTCCATTTCTATTTGAATTTGGGAATTCAGATGCCCAAATTCATGATACGCGAGTTCTTTCTTCTTTCATCTTGGGGCACTAACAGATCGCAGAGAGATTATATCTTCTAAATCCATTTAATCCCAGCTTATTTCATGAAATCATCTTTGAGGTAGAGAACTGAGGCCAGGCTTCCTCTTCTCCTCTTCTCTAGAGACGGGGAGTGCAGGGTGAGGCAGGCAGTCTACTCGTATTGATGATGGACAAGGAAACGTCCACTGCAACGGTCATAGAACATGTTTCTTTCAACGCTGGGGTTTAAGCTACATCCCATCATTCCTCCTCTTCTCTCAAGCTTTCTTGCTTGAGCAGCAATACTCGAACTCCTTTAGTGCACCACACTTGCACCTAAATCAGACCTTGGCCACTTACCACTCTTCTGAATCCTCCACTATCATCGATCTTTTTGTGGGCTTTTCCTTCTTTCCCTAGACAACCATCAGTATAAAAATGAAACCAACGTTGCCCACAAAGAGCGAGAAAAAAGATAGAGAGAGAAAGGGGTGGGTTTTCTTGTCTTGTGATGATCTCGACTTCCACATTGGTATGAAAGGAGTCCTCCAGTCTAATCAGAACATGACTCTAATGGAACCTTTACTCCCGACAGAAATTCACCACTGAGAATGACGAATTGGGACGATCACGAGAGGAGAAAAGAAGAGAAAAAAATGATCTTTATTCAATGAAATTGGAAGTAGGTAATGGAACTGATGATAGAGACTCGTTTGGAGCGGCTTCCACATTCAAGGGGGGTCGACCTGCATAATTCTTCCTCTCCCCACTCCTTCTATAGCCAATTATAATAGCGGGACATTCAGGAATTACCCTGTAATCAATTCCTTAAACTAGATTCTATCTAAGTTCTCTACGGTTGCCTCCAAATCCTTGTCCTACATTGGCTTGCATTGCTTTGGATGGCCAGTTGTCTCCTCTATTTGTCTTGATAATCGACGCCCCTTCCTTATTGAGTTGGCGGATGCAAGGATCGCATCAATGTTCCCCCTTAGAACCACCTTATCTTCCGTGCATCCTCCCATGTGGCTTTGGAATCTAGAAGACCATACCACTAGATCAAGACTTCAAGATCACATGGCATTTGTCATATATTTGAAAGAGGTCCCTTTGTGTCACAGCCTAGGTGCCCTCCTCATCCAACTGGAGCGATAGTGAGACGTGGAACACCAAATGGATCTTGGCAGTGGCTGAACACGTCAATTGGTAAGCTACAGCTCCGATATGCTCTAGTATTTGAAAAGGGCTGAAGAACCATGGAGATAACTTCTTGTATAGTCTCTACTCAATGAAACCAACCGATATGGCCATAGACGCAAGCAAACAATATTGCTGACTTAGAACTAGATATCACGACACTTCCAGTCCACATAAGCCTCCATCTAGACTTGAGCTTCAGCCAGCTCTTGAGTGGATGATTGATTGTGTCCACTGGGGACTAAGAGCGTCTGAAACAACATAGTGTCAAAGGATTTATACTGTAAACGACACGAAATAGAGTGGTGCATGTGGAGGAGTGATAGCTGGAGTTATTTCAAAATTCAACCTAGTTGAGCCACTAGCCCCATTGGTAAGGTCAATCTCCAGGAAAGCACTGGAGATATGTTTCAAGGCCTTGATTGATCACCTCAGTCTAACCATCGATCTAAGGTGATACGCATTGTTCTGGTGTAAATGGGTGCCCTGCCATTTGAGCAATGTCAAAACCTAAGAATGGATGTTAAATGAGGAGAAATAAATATACTTACTGAGGTGATCCATAGTCATCAAGATGACACTAAATCCTTTGCATTTGAACAATCCTTCAATGAAGTCCATGGAGATGCCATCTCAAATCTCCTCTAGAATGTTGAGAGGTTGAAAAAAGCCCATTAGAGAAAGAGCTTTGCACTTGTTATGTTGACAGAATGTGCATTGTTGTATGTGTTGATGAATCACCCCTTTTATTCCTCTTCAGTACACATTTTTATGATTGATTCTTTTATATGATTGGAGGAACTCGAAGTGACTGCCCTTGGTTGTGTAGTAGAACTCATGTAGTAGTTGGGGAATTACAAACAACTCTTTTGGGAGAACCAGTTGTCCTAGCAAGAGTAAGAGTCATTGGTGTAGAGAAAGTACAGAATTGACAAAGGATCATGAAGGAGAGTCTTGGTCACTTGTCATGTTTATGGATCAACTTGATTCTCTTGTGTGTTCAATTTGAGATCGAGCATTTCTGACTAGATGACTTCTATAGATAAGAGCTCATGTTCCCCTGACTTCCAAGATAAGACATTGGTTGCTTGATTCTCAATTCCCACCTTAAAGTAGATCTCAAAATCAAAGCCAACGATCTTAGCTAATCATCTTTGATAATCCAGTATCACCTACCTCTACTCTTAAAGAAATTTGAGGCTATGTTGATCAAATGTTAATTATAAATTTTTGGCAGATGAAGTAGTGCATCCACTTCAGTACCATAAGGACCATGACAATTAATTTAAGTTCGTAGATCAATTTCAATCAGCCTGAGGACGACAATTATTGGCTGAAGAACATGATGGGTTGCCATTGCTACATAAGCACTCTATGCCCCTATCAAATGTGTCAACTTCCAACTCGAACAACTTTGAGAAATTGAGTAGGGTGAGAATTAGAGCTCTTGTTAGTGCTTGCTTGATAGGTGAAGTCTATGTTTGTTTCCCCCTAAAAAGAGTCATTAAGTTCTTGAGTGACGAGTTGTGCTAGTCTCATAATTCTTAATAAAGTGGTGGTAATAATTGGTGAGACCTAAAATTCCCTAGAGTTGCTTCAAACTCTATGGTGAAGGCTGGTCTAGGACCTCTTGGATCTAACCTTGGTCCATCTCCCCACCACGAGCAAAAACTTAATGGCCTAAATACTACATTTTTGTCTTGCCAAATATATATTTCTTTGAATTAACTTGTAATTGAGGATCATAAAGTAAGGAAAAAACTTGTGTTAAAGTAAAGTTGGAGTTGAACACTAGGATATTGTTGAAAAAAATGAGGATAATTTTTTAAGGAACTCACGAAAGATCTTGTTCATTAGTTCTTGGAACATTGTGGAGCATTGTAGAAGCCAAAAGGCATCACGAGAAATTTCTAGTGGTCTTTGTAGGTTTGGAAGGCCATCTTCAAAAAATCCTCTTTCTTGATGTAGATTTGGTGTTATCTTGATTTCAAGTTAATTTTTGAAAAAATGATTATGCCTTAAAGTTTGTTGAGCAACTTTTCAACGACTAAGATCAAGAAACAATCTAGAATGGTGATCTTATCAAGTTCTCTATAGTCAATGTAGAAATGCTAGGATCTATCAGTTTTTCTCACCAACAATGCAATGCTGAAGTAAGAATTGGTAGAGTGTTAGATAACTCAAATATTACACATGTTGCAAACAAACCTCTCGATCTTAGATTTCTAAACCTATAGATATTTGAAGGCTCAAACTTTGACCAGAGTAGAGTTGGGTTCTAGAAGAATGCTGTGGTCAATGTCTTTGGGTAATGATAGCTCAATGATGTTGTTAAAGATAATATAAAACTGTCGGTGAAGGTGGTCCTACCAAAGCTATAAGGTTACATCATGGCCCCCAGAAGTGTGGTTGAGTTAGAAGAGCTCGATCACCACTTCGAACTACTATCAAATCTCTTTGAATAACATCTTGAGAGAAATGTCATATGACACAAGGTGGGGTCAACTTGAACAACATCGTTAAATTCTTTTGTAGAAAAATTCAACAACTCTAATTAACTAAAAGGGTTGAGATAATTATTCAACTTTAATTAGTCATTGAAATGTGATATATTTATAGAGATACCAAATTCAAAATCCTCTCTTGTTTATGTTGTCTCCTCATGGTTACTTTTCAAAAATAATTAGAAATTTAGATGACTGAAAAATCAATATAATATACCCTTTAAAATTTTAAATATTTTTATGAAAAAATAATCTATAACTTCATTAAAGCACAATATACATATCTAAATCACATTGATTTAGTCAATATCAATAATACTTTGATATTATTTTAAAAATTACAACAAGATATTGTCAAACTATGACTATATTTTTTAAACTCTTTTTTTTTAATATTATAGTTGTACCCTTATGAGATCTAGTTAGTTATAGTGAATCCTCATAATGGCCCCCCAACTTTTAACGAATATGGTACACTTGTAACCCATATATATTATAGGTTTGAATTATGAAACAAGGACTCCTATTTTTCTGATTGAAAATCTTTGAGCAGTGGCTTTGCCAACCTAAGGTTAAAAGGGAAAAACTCTAACATGGAATTAGAGATTGTTTAATTAGGTTGGATTCCACACTTCTTCCCTTTAGTTTCTATTACTTTTATACCTCCATCCACATCCTCTAGGTCTGAATTAAGGGGCTAAGAGAATCAGGACAAAAGGAAAACACGATGACCATTTATTAAGAGCATGTAATACATGGAGCTCAAGACGGAGGAGACTAGATAGTCAACTAAATTAGGTCTCAATGTGTCATCCTCCTTATCACACACTAATCAATCATAGCGAGGGAGAGATTGGTACAGATTCTTCTAGGTATTTCAGAAAAATTTAAGTGCAATAGAATAAATCTTATTCAATGGAGTTAATATAGAGTTAATCTTGTTGGAAAGAGGATTAAGTGATCATCTAATAAAGGTTTCTGATCATTCAAATTCTAAATATAATGTACCAAGAGTGGATGATGTTATCATCCTTACATAGTTCTTAGGCATAATGGTGAGAGATGAGTATGAATACTTTCTATTTTTTAAGACTACTAAAGAATTATGGGACTTAATCCACAAGAGTTGTTCTAAGTGAAATAATGATTGGAAGATTAACAGCCTTGTAACCAAGGCTACAAATCTCACGTAAGGTGAGAGATCTGTACTTAAATACACTTATAAATTGCAAGTCATTTGGAGGGAAATAGATCATTATCGACTGATGTAGAATCCTGAATTTTAAGAGTTGGCATATAGATTGTAGGATCAGTTATATAAATTCTTCATGGGACTAAATATAAAATTTGAGTCATTGAGAAATCAAATTAGTACCTAGAGTAGCTAAGGAGGATACAAGAGTAGTGCTTACAATAAAATCAAAGACATCATCGACATGAATAGAATAGAAAACTAAGCAACATCAACAAATTAATCATCTAGGAAAATTTCATAAAGGAGAGATAAAGAACTATCTATGATGTGCTTATTACAAGAAAAAGAATCACACAAATTGTTTTTACTCAAAACTACATGGAAAACCTCAATGACAAGTGTATGTTACAGTAACATGAGTAGACAAACCAATGACTGAGTCTACTATGACATACCAACATATGATAATTCATAAAATGATGGAGATGAAAATAATTTCCTAAATGAAGAGATTGAGAAGTTGAAAGCTCTCTTTGGCTCCACTTCCATAATACAACTAGGTGAAAATGAACTATTTCTAGGTATGCATCCCTCTCTTTTACAAGTTATCCAAATATTAGACACCAGTTTTACAGATCATATGACCTCTAATAGGTCAAAATTTATTATATATTCTACTTGTACTGGAAAGAAGAATGTTTTTACACGTGGTGAAATCTTTATAGTGACAAATATGAAAAGCCTTGAGATCAAGAATATAGGAATATTGAAGAATAATGATTATGTCCCTAATCTAAAGATACACATTATTTTCCCTCCAATGATGGTTAAAGACAACAATTGGTGAATAACACTTGACCATATTAATTCTTTTGTGTAAGATAAAGGATTGAATCAAAGAATTAGACCTCTTAAGGAGAGGGATGGTCTAATCTATTTTGAAGAAAATGTTATCTCAATACTTATGGCTAATTTCTTCGTATCAAGGAAATGAAATAATTCTAGAAGATTGGACCAAATCGAGTTACTTCACTATCAGTTGGGATATCCTTCTTTTAAACTTATGAGAGCAATACTTCCTTCTCATGTTAAACAATATGATGTGACTAAATTCATATGTGATATATGTCAATTGGTTAAGCACAACTGAACAAACTTTAGAGGGGTGAGCGAGAGAAGTAAATCTACCTTATATCATATTAATAGCAATGTTTGAAGCCCATGTCAAATGATTAATATGTCCAAAGTATACTAGTTTATGATATTGATAGATGGTTATACAAGACTGACTTGGGCCTTTCTTCTTATGGAAAAATCTCAAATAACAAGAGTAATTCAAGTATTTTACTTCATGATATAAAATTAATTTAGAATGTTTATCAAACAGCTCCAATCTAATAATGCCAAAGATTCTTTTAATGATAGTTAAACAACTTATTTCAAGCAGCATCAGATTGTCTATGAGTCATCATGTATCAATACTTCACAACATAATGGAGTGGTAGAGAGGAATATTAAGAACTTACTAGAGACCATAAGAGCTCTATTATTTCATCATCAAGTTCTCAAGTATCTTTGGGCAGAAGTCCTATTGATGACAGTCCATTTGATCAATATGTTACTTTTAAGATATTTGGATATCATAACCCACTTGATCTCATGTCTTAATATTATCCTCATATTAAGTTGAAGACAAACTTAAGTCTGAAAATATTTAGATGCACAATTTATGTTCATGTACAAAATTTAGGAGGTAAACTCAATCTAAAGGCAATTAGATGTGTGTTTGTAGGCTACTCTATGACCCAAATGTTACATTTAATGAATAGGAAAGCTACTTCTCATCCATATGAGCGATGCAAATTGAAGTCAAGGGATTATCTAGTCAAGACATTTTTATAATCTAGATTAAGCCACTATCAATGATGAATTCATCTCAACCAAAAGATCAGAATGTCCACGAGTATATCGTTTTTATGATATACTCGAAAACCAAAATGTATAACAAAGATGGACAATACATCATAGAACCTACATGCACCTAAAGGTAACTCTAATACAAAGAATCAACCAAACTATAGTGAAATTTTAGAAGGTAATGAGGAGAATATTTAAAGCCCAAAAGTATTGACCGAAGAAGATCAAGTTGGTTGGACAATTATCTTCAGGAAAGGTATTAAAACTTACATAAAGAAAATATTATATCCTATGTCTAATTTTGTGGCATATGAATGACTTTCTCCTTAATATAAGTCATTTTTTATAAGCTTAACGTCTATAGTTATTTCCAAAACTTTGGAAGAAGCCTTCAAGAATATAAATTGAAAGAAAACCAAGGATGCAAAAATGAAGGCCTTAGAGAAAAATAACACATGAGAAATAGTCTAACTTTCTCAAAATAAAAAATTATTTAGTTGTAAGTAGTTGTACACTATGAAGTATAACTCAAATAGGTCTTTCAAGAGATAGAAAGCTCAACTTATTGCCAAGAGATATACTCAATCCCATGGAATTGATTATTTGGAGACTTTCGCATTGATTGTAAAATTGAATACAGTGTGTATACTAATTGCATTAGCAGCCAGTTTTTTGTTGTATCTTGATTAGTATACTATGAAAATACTTTTCCACAAAGATCTAGACAAATAAATTTATAAGGATCTTTCTCTTGGGTACTATTTGTCTTCTCCTAGAAGAAGGGTATGTGGGCTAAGAAAAGCTTTATATGGACTAAAGTAGTCCCCTCAGGTCTGGTTTGGAAAATTCTCTAATGGTATGAAAAGTATGGGTTATAAGTTATAGACAAAGTAATGGTAATCATACTTTTTTTGTTAAACACTTCCATTCAAGGGAAATGATAGTCATGTTGTTATATGTTGATGATATCATCATGATAAAAATGACAAGACAGAAGCATATACTTTGAGCCAACACCTTTCAAACTTTTTCAAAATTAGGTTGATGGTTGTGATACTTTTTGGGCTTGGAAATTACCTATTTTAAGTAGAGAATTTTCATTTCCTAACAAAAATATATTATGGATCTCCTCTAGGAGACATAGAAGATAACATGTTAATTGTTCAACACACTTATGGATCCAAACTTGAAACTAAGATTTTGCAAGGAGGATAGTCCAATCAATAAATAGCAATATCAAAGATTAATTGGCAAACTAATCTTCTTGAATCATTCAAAAATAGATATTGCATTTGTAGTGAGGGTCCTCAATCAATTTATGCATGACCTTTGGGAACCTCATCTTCAAGCTGCATGCAATGTACTAGCCTATTTAAAAGGTATAACTAATCAATGATTATTATTCAAAAGAAATGGCAAAACCTCAGCGGAAATCTACATAGATGTAGACTATGTAAGCTTAGTGGTTGATCAGAGGTCAACCTCAAGATATTGTTCTTTCATTAGGAGAAATTTAATCACCTAGAGAAGCAAGAAGTAAAATATAGTTTCATGATTCACTACAGAGGTTGAGTTCAAATCAATGACACAAGAATATGAAATACTATGGATTAAAGGTAGTTTAGATAATCTTAAAATCCAACATAGGACCAATTATGTTAAATTATGATAGCAAGTCAACAATTGACATGGCTCATAATCTTGTGTCACATGATCAAACAAAGCTCATTAAGGTTGATAGGCACTTCATTCAAGAGAAAATAGAGCAAGGGATCATTCAAACTACTTATATTTAGTCTTCATTGCAAGTGGCAGATATATTTATCAAAAAACTTCTAGGCATTGCATTCCACAAGTTAACTTCAAGTTGGGCATAGAAAACATACATGCACCAGCCTAAGGGGGAGTGTCAAACTACATAAATATATCTTTATACTTTATTTCCAAAATATGATAACTATACACTTATGAGATTCAATTAGTTACAATAGATCTTCATAATGAGCCCTTGACCCTCAATTAATAAGGTCCACTTGTAACCCATATGTAATATGAGTTTGAATGATGAATCAAGAGCTCTCTCATTTTTTCAATTGCAAATTCTTAAGCGATGGCTATGATGACCTAGGGTTAGAAGGGAAGAATTCTAACATATACATATATATATATATATATATATATATAAGATGATGATTTAACAATCAAATCTTATTCAAATCACCTCAAATAAAAATATGATAGTCAAGCAAACACCTTGAATTATGAGTTTTATATTTATAATCATGATTTTAGTGATTCAAATATATTCCTCAATATATAAAAACTTGTGTGGTATAATGAGTAGTCTGAATTTAATTGATTAATTTGATATCTAATCTTTCAAAAGTAATGATTTAACTCCATTAACATATAGTAAACTAAGTAAGCTTTAATACTCATATTTTACTTCAAAGATTCTTGTTAATTCAAGTATGTTTTTTTTTTTTTTTTTTAATTCAAGTATGTTAATCATTACTTTCTCACTACAATACATCTTGTAAATATTAATAGTTTCTATAGCAATATATAAAATGATAGCTTCACATGATAAAATCAATAAAATATATAAATTCAATATAGTGGTCACAAGTATGTTCAAACAAGTATCATATGAATATTTAATAGTATTTTATTGAAATATATATGAACCTTTTCATATATAATTGTATATCAATCATAATTAGAATTAAACATAATTTAATCTTTTAATTGATCTTAAAACTATTTTTCAGCATCAAAACTTCATATATTCAATATTTCAACATATATAGTGTCTTTAATATCTACAATGGTTGAGAAGAGAAATTATATATGATAATTCTTATGATGATGTTGTTTAATCTCACCCACAATGCCCTTTTATTTAATATTCCACATATTGTAAACTTAGATGTCATACTTATATTTGTAGTAGATCAACCATAAAATATCCTCTTATTACACAGTTTTGGGCACCATTTGCCCTCTTTGGCCTCTATTGTAAGGTATTATATAACTAACTTCACTATAGATAACCCTACTATGATTGTTCTCATTTCCTTAGATTCTACCTCTTTCCTTTTGTGTTCTTGATAATAGACACCTATCTTTTTTTATACACCACCATAATTTTTGTTAGGAAATCTTTGAGATAGTTGTTGTAGTTTTACTTACCAAAAAAGTATAATTTCTTCATGTTATAAAGTTTGTTATCTCTATACATATTTCAAACTTCTGACAGAAGTGATACCAATTGTCTTAGATACCTCTATATGGTGCTAGTGTGTCAATTGAGCAGTACATCTTAAATCAAAATTACTTTCTAAAATTTTAAGATAAGTTTACTAATGAGACAATGAGACTTTGGAATTCCTCCACCCACATATGTCACAATAGTTTTCCATCTTTTGCCAAATACATATTAGTCACTAATTCTGATCTTTGGTTCACATAGAGATATTGATTTCCAAAGTGTCCATAACACTTGTAAATGTTTTTGGTTTAGGACCTTAACCCCTATCATGTCTCATCATATTGATACATTATTTTGTAGGCAGATCTGTCACCATTCAATGAAGTTATTCACAACTTCGAGTAAACTTATTTAAATCATCATCTTTTGTATGCATGGTAATGCACACAATACTTATAATTAAGCTTTCATAATTAGTGATCTTGTAGATCCCTGACTCATTACTCAAATACATGAAATAAATCTTTGATATTTTTTATTTGAGCTTCTAAGGGCTCTATAGTTTCTATAAAGCTAAACTTTTCCTCATGATGGACAACTTGCTGATTGTTGGTTCAATTCTCCCTAGTCATGTACATTAACTATCTTCTTTAAAAGAGTTTAAAAATAAGAAAATAGCAGCATAACTTTGTTGACAAAACTATTTTATATTGTTACTTGTTAAATAATTGATTGTCATAATGTTTTATCCTTATGTTTATATTGAGTGTAGTTGTGACCCAATTAGCCTAAACCTTCAAGATTGAGAGCTAAACTCAAAGGATAAGACTCATATTACATTACTCAATGTGACATGATACTAGACATTTGACCCTTATTATAAACGAGATAATGTTCTGAATTATTAGAATTAATAGTAGAAGATTAATGCTGAACTCATTATTCATGTCATGCCATGCATGCATATAATGTCATGTGCTGCCAATGTCATGTGCACTAATCATATCACATCTAGCCAAGCTAACCTTCAATCGCAAAGTTTTGCTTGTAGAATCTCACCTTATTGTGCCAACCTCATCATAGTTATGCTTAACCCTAATTGACTTAGTTTTCTTGACCTTGGACCTAAAAAAAATTATTTAAATAGTTTTGGAGTTACACCTTTTTTCTACCATTCCACATGCTCTTTTCCTCTCTCTTTGACATCAAACTAATAAATCCTAAACTTTTTATTTATAATTTCAAAATATAAGTAAATATGTTCATAATTAAAAAATATATTTTAATCACCCACCATTTGATAACTAGAGATTTATAAAATATGCCTACATATTTATATGTGTATATAGATACTGATTAATCATTATTTAGTTAGTATGGATTTTAACAAATTCTTAATTGAAAGGAACAAGGGTTGGCTAACATAAAATTCATTATGTAAAAAAAATGAAACAATCTACTTCAATAATCTAGAGTTTACAAACTATAGAACTAAATCAAAGTGAATCTAAATTAGATTAAAGCTCTCAAAGCTCTTTTTTTAATTTTTTTGATAATTTCTATTAATTAAAAATGGACTATTTGATCTAATTCTATGATTTGAGGAGGAGGATCATACTATAAATAACATGATCTTCTTTTAGAGTAACATCTAGATGACCTTTTACAAAGACTAAGCATTTGAACTTCAAACATGAATACTTTTTCAATGAGTATGAAATACTATTATTAGTAGCTAAAAATAAACTATTGGGATCAAAATATTAACAAATAATACACTTACATTGATAAAAGGATGATACAAACCCAATCATTCAAATTGTATGTTTTAGAATATCCCTATTCCACATGTTAATATTTCTACTTACAAAGTTTAAGAGGGAGATCATTTTTTTACCATAAAAAGTTAACAAGGGCCAAAAATATCTTTGTAAATGGAAATCTAGATTGTATCTTTTTGCCTTCAACAAAAACCATTGGATATAGTGTACAATATTCATGCCAGCACATAGCAGAGCAGCGCCAAGGAGGTTCCCCCATCATATTCAGTGGGTTATTAGTCCGTTATTCAAACAAGAAGAAGATGAATCGGAATATAGCTGCAACACCAAAACAGGGTGCAAAGAACTGAAAGCCCTTCTTTAAAGTTCGTCCCAGGCTTAACTTACATACCACTCAACATTCTTTCAAAACAATCGAGTCGAGGCTTTTCAATGACTTGGCCATTCAATCCTGTGAACTAATCGAGACCGAAATTGGAGAAGGAGATATGAATGGAGAGGAATAAGCAATCAATGAAAGGACATGAAACCATTCTGTTTCAATAGAAGTATAGGAAGACCAGTCGGTCTCACAATCAGGCAGGCTTATACCATTATGCTCACGAGCAGAATCAACGCTTGAGCCTACCTTCGCACACCTCCTAGCACATGCTGACCATATTTTTCATAAGGAAAGAGTGAGGGTGTCTTTCAATCATGTACTAAACCCTTATATTACATTCACTAGAAGATGATTAGTATAAAAAATAAATCCATTACTGATTATAATATATTTCCAAGAGAATCATTTAGAAATAAGATTTCTATACAATCAATGAGCCATTACTAAATGAGTACATCAACAATTTAGTATGACAGAAAATTCAAAAATTGTCTTTGTCTTATTGCTAATTCATTTATAAATGAGGTATTAAGATGTACAAAAGATATGTTACACACTTGTATTTGCTTCACTTTCTTAAGTGTGTCATCTATAGAGGAATACCTTCTCTATAACATTGTTACCGACCAGATGGGGGATAACATCTAGTCAGTAGAGAGTGAGAAGGAGAAGAGAGCTGAGATAGAAAGAGGGTTATTGTTTTGGCAAAATCCTAACCTCCAACAGGGTCTTTCGAATAACCCCCCCCCCCCCCCCCCCCTAACCCTTCCATTCACTCCCTTGTATCCCTTATACATAACATGAGGCCCTAACCCTGCTGAGTCTTCACCGTTGAGCTACCTCTCTGTATTCAGTTGTCTCATAGGCTCTGTGATTGGGTTATTCCTTCTGCAAGGCCCTGTCCAGCTGCCTAATGACATAACAGTTACACTACCCAGATGTCAACTAAGCTCCGCTAGATTAAAGACTAACAACCCAAGCACTTCTAGATTCTCAATTTTAGGAACCCAACAAGAAAAAATCTTACTTATCTCTTTCAGATTAATAACTCTATGTGATCAAACATTAGAGATTTAATCGCAGCTCAGAATTCAAGGTTTCTAGTTCTAGAAATACTCTTCAGTCCACAATAATTTGCACCCAAGGAAATTTATCTGTGGGAGCTAAATAATATCAAAGAGAATGATATTGAACTCTACTACCATTTTTCTCTTGCAGCATGATGTGTTGGCCTAGCATTTGAACATCTTCTCACAACTTCAGTATCATGAAAGGTCATAAATAGATATTCAACTTGGATGCGTTATCTTATTGTTCTTAAGATGCAGATATATTCAAGGCTTTCCAATCTTTGTCTAACCTTCTCCATCAAGATTACATGCTTTCTTCATTGTGCTTTCAAGCTCATCTGCCCTTTCTTTGAATCTCGAAATTTCTAATATTATAGAGTTTTTAATGATTAATTTATTCTGTAAAAAAGACTAAGATCATGCCATGTCATTCTAATGGTAACTTATTGATACCCTATATTTTATTACTAAGATATAATTATCCCTATGTGAGTTTTGGACTAACATGAGGTTTTTCTACTACTACAATCTAATATATATACATAATATGGGTGTCGTAAGCTAACATGTTTTATAGTTTTAAGTTTTTTTTTTCCCCTGTATTTGCCGATGGCAGTTTACATGACGTGACATTCAGCCTTATCAACCCATCGTCTCCATGGCATTTTTCTCGTAAAGTTTATGAGGAGTGTCAAGAAAGCAGGCTTGATTCTTCTGGGGACGAGTCAAAATCCTTTATGGAGTCCTAATTCCTCCGTTTCCGACTGCTAGCAGATGAACGGAACTAATCTCCGAAGATAAAACAGCAACATGAAGATGCAGATTGTGCCGTCTAGTCATTAATTTTATATAAAGTTTTGTTTTTTTTCTTTAGATTTATCGCTTTTGCTTGCTCAGCCGCCTGTGGGATCATCCTGTTTGAGCTGCTCGGTTCCTTATCATACGGTCCAACTCGGGTCCTCTGGTTCTTGCTCGATTGATTGTTCCACAGACGGCGGATCAGAGAAGCCCTGCTTTGCGGTGGCCATTGGGGAAGAAGAGGGAGAAGAAGCCGAGAAGGAAGATGAGAGCGGGGGGAAAGGGGAGAATCGAAGAAGAAGGATTAGAAAAACGGAGGATTGTGATGGTAATTCGTTTCTGGGTTTAACGAGGATTAAAAAAAAGCTTCCTTCTTTCGTTGATCTCCTTCTCCTTCACTCTACTGTACAGAACACCGGAAGCGTCTTCTTATTTAGGATCTAAGCAGGCGCCGGCGCCGGCGCCGGCGCCGCCGTCACCCCCTCCGGCGCGCAGATTTCACATGACAACGGCGCAGGAACAAGGAGAAGAAGGATGAGAACAGCTATTCCGATCATACCCATCTCTCTCCGGTAGCATCTGCTCTAATCCTCCCGACGAACAACTACCTAACTCTCGAGCTTACTAATCCCGATCCGCTTCACAGCGGCGTTGCGCACGGCGTCGAGGTGCTTCTGCGGGTCCTCCATGAACACCATGGCGCCCTGCTCCAGCCCCATCATGTAGCTCCTCACCTCCTTCCTTATCATCTCCTGCATCGCCCCCAGGAGCTCCTCGCTCAAGGGCGATTCCCGCCGTCGCCCTTCCGCCGCAGCGGGCGAAAAGTGTAGGAGGGTCTCCGCCGCCAGCCCCGGTGGCGACAAGCGGCGCCGCTCGTGGTCCTGATGGTGCTCGGCGGCGGAGGAAGAGGAGCTCGTCCCGGGGAGGGAGAGCGTCAGCGACGTCGCCGGATCCTCGCTGGCGGTAGGCTTCGCCGATGACGTGACCTCCACGGCCGGCGGCAGTACTCCGCCGGCCCTGGCAATCGGCCGGAATATCCTCGACCTCGCCGCCTCCGCCGGCGGAGTAGAGTGCCGGCTCGAATCGCTCACGTCAGAGCTGGACGGGCTCCCCGCGCTGAAGCACATTCCCGAGACCGCCCGCTTCAGTGGCGGCTCCCCGCTATTCTCCTCCTCGCGATCGCCGCCGACGGTGGCACCGCCGCCGCTGCTCCCTGCGGGGGAATACTTGCGCTTGAGCGTGGAGTTCCAGTGGTTTTTCACGGCGTTGTCGGTCCTGCCATGGAGCAGCCGTGCGATGGTCGCCCACTTGTTGCCGAACTTGGCGTGGGCGCGGACGATCGTCTCGTCCTCGTCGGCGGAGAAGGGGCGATGTTCCACCTGCGGCGAGAGCTGGTTGCACCACCGCAGCCGGCACGACTTCCCGGACCTCCCCGGGATGGACTTGCTGATCAGCGACCAGTTCCTCGGCCCGTGCTTCTGCACCAGCCTCTGCAGGGCATCATCCTCCTCGGGACTCCACGGGCCCTTTATCCTACTCTCCGCCTCCCTTCTCCCCGCCGACGACTCCACGTTTACACCGGCGGCCGCCATGGCCCGAAGCTTCTCCGGCCGGTTTCCGCTGCTGGCTACCGGTGGAGGTGGATGCGGTGGTGGTGGCGGTGGCGGTGGCGGTGGCGGAAGGTTGAGGACGGTGGTGGCGGCGGGGAAGCGGTATAAGTAGGAGGGATAAGGGACCGGGGGGGAGTCAGCGACCGGCGGTAACCGGTCGGCAACCGGCTAGGGCGGGCGTTAGACGGTGTTCCTCCAGCCGAGCGGTTGCTTGGATACAGCTGTCCAAGGACACGCGTCGCTCCCAGGGGGGCCCTTTTTTAAAATTCGTTCCTCTTTGGACTCCCCTCCCGGTAGACCACGATGGCGGCCGTTACTCTCCTCGTAGAACTGCCCCTCTTTGTAGGGATATTTCTTCAAAACTTTTCATCCCCGGCTGGTTATCCGTAATTTTCTCCTTGTCTCCACCTACCGCCGTCGCCGGCTTCGCGCATCGGCTCACCGGCTCACCGAATTAACCGCCTGACCAATCCTGACGCGCACCCAGCTGACCAGCGGTGACGGGTCGCTGTCACGTAACCGCCTGGGAAGTGGGGCCCACTTTGGCCAACTGGAGCGAGTGGCTCCAGCTGTCGTTGGAGACCTCGTTCCGCTCGTGGGCACGGGCGGTGACTGGACTCCACGGTAAAACCAAAGAGAACGCAGGGGTAAAGTAGGCATAAAAAGGGCGGGCCGTTACGCGGTGAGAGCTGGCTTCCAACAGAAAGTGGGCCCCACACGCGTTTATTACAATTCAAATTTTAAATCGCCTGCTCCCCAAAAAGCAGATAGAAGCCGACATCCGAATTCCGGGCCGCCCGATCTCTGCACGTGGGGGTCGATCTTCGCACGTGTGGGCTCCCTCTCCCGCATACCCGACACCCACGTGGCAGGCGGCCCGAGAGATTCCCAAGCCGTACTTTCCCGAGGCGACTGCCTCCCCCATCCCAACGGATCATAACGGGTCCCAACGGCTCACTGGCCCAATAACGGGCCCGGCCAAATCCGCATCCCCTGCTGGCATCAACGGCCACCTTGGGGTGGACTCGCGGATCAGATCGAGGAACGGGCAGGTGAGCCCCTTTGACCATGACGGCTTACTGACCCGCTTAAGATGTCGATGCCACGTGGGGACGGTCAGCATATCGGGGGCCGACAATCCAAAAACCGGTGAGAAAATTCAAACCGCCGACAGTTGTCGCCGTTCGAACTACCGGCGGCGAGCCCCGGCGGCATTTTGCCCGCGCGTTTTAGCCTTTCGGAGACAACTTGGGCTGGCCCCGACGTTTCCGCACGTGCGCGAAAGGTACCCAAAGGGAAAAAAACCTTTGACGCTGAGCATCGCCACGTCGGATGCAAGATGGACGGCCCCCCGACCCCCAAATCCCAGAGGAAAGGAGTGGTTTTTTACAATAACGTGTTCTAATAAAATTATAAAATATTAAATAGCCAGTTTTAATATTCGCGAGTATACCAAGACACGGCTTCCCTGTCCTCATCGTCCTCAACAGTGGGCATAAAAACTTATGCGGCCAACGTGACTTAATCTCTCCTTCCCACCGTGTCATTATCATTATTCCATAAAAAAATCATTTTTTTACCATAAATCAGAAGCCCGTAAAGGATTAAACCCAAAAATAAAAAAACCTGTGAAGGGTAGTCTTAGAACCCACATATCGAAACAGGGCAGGTCTTATCTTTGTCAGATTTTATGCTGAGATTGCATCAGACTCGCCCTTCGAACACTTGATAATTACCGATTAATAGGATGACCTAAGTTTGTGAAGTGGGTAGTTATATAATGGCTGACAAATATTCGGAAAAACCTTGTCACTACCCTTTTCCAGAAATATTCAATATTTTCACATGTATGAGCTGATATTGGTAGCAAGAAATGGGTAGCATTTCCGATTGGATTCGAGAACCTGGTTGTGGTCAAGGAATTGTTCTTGTGATTGAAGGGTTGCCGTTGTTCTACTTGATCCATGAGAGAGAGAGAGAGAGAGAGAGAGAGAGGGAGGGGGGGGGGGGCGGAGGATTTCAGGATGAGGAAGATGATAGGATTTAAGTATGCGCGGAAGAAAAGGAGAAAACGTGATGCGCAAGATCCGTTGAACGATGGGTCTCCGGGGAAGCGATAGAATATGAAGGCAGCAGGTTCCCGACAGCGGCTTGTTTTGTACGGCTCCCCACCGAATCTCTCCCCTCCTTGACGATCATAATAATAGAAGAAATGGGCTGAGCCGTTGAACGATCCCATCACCCTCCTACTACTCCTACTCAGCTCGTTCCCAATTTCCTCTCTCTCTCTCTCTCTCTCTCTCTCTGGATTTGTTATCGAGAGGCCCTCCTCTCTATCCAACTGCTCAACCCCCTCCATTGATGTTTCTTTCGGATACATGTCACAATCCTATCTCTCACTCTTTCTCTATCCAAGCGGTGACCGGGCATGCAGGATTAGGAGGAATCCTGCTTCGCGCGGAAATCCGCGTTGCACCCCACCAGATCCTCATCGTGCTTCTTCTCACGTGAAGCAACCGATTATATATACTCTCCTGTCTGGTTATCGCTCTTTCTTTCTAGGGTTCTCTTCCAAGCGGAGAATACCCATATGCCGACTGTCGGATCATGCGGCCGAAATAAACAAGAACGAGGTTGACTGCGAGGTCTGGTCACCAGAGGCAGATCGAATCAGCTGGGGCCTCGCTGAATACAGTGAAGGAAGCACTGTCGGTGAGCAGTGGAAGTTCTTTAGTTGACTAGCGGAGAAGAAGACGCCATAGCCATTGATTGCAGCATTGATTTCGACGAAAGTTCTCTCGTTTTGTTGTATGATGCTATTTTTTTACGTTCTTCGTGACTTCGAACATAATTTTTGGACGGGTACCTGATTTCAGCATCATTATGATCATCTTCGTCATCGGAGCTGTTCGTCGACCGAGGGTTAGATTTTCTCTACGAGACAGATTTCTTTTACTCGTGAGTTCGTTCGAACGTTGACCCCGTATGAACGGGGAAGGAGAGTCAGCAACGCGGAAAGCTGGAGATGTAGGGCGTGCCCACGGGAGACTGAAAGGTTGACTCGCCGAGCGGGACCCACGGGAAGGTGTGGACAGAGGATAAGGAATGGGCGTCTTCCAGACGCCCATTGACTCTCGGAGGGGTCCATCACATCCGTGTCTGTAGCTGGCAAGCGAATCGAAGCCGTGGAGGCGTGGATCAGTTTGGTTGCATACGGACAACTTACCTCACATGATTTCCGTCCACCATAAGAGAGAGAGAGAGAGAGAGAGAGAGAGTGTGAGAGAGAGAAAGAGAGAGAATAAACGAGTTTAACAAGGGAACAGTGGCTGGTACGCTGTAGACACCCAACAAGAAGAGTGAGGAGATCAATGGCCACACCTGACACCTTCCCTGCAGCAATAGAACTTGTGGGAGACGAAATCGTGTGATGCTCCGATCTAAGTCCTTACCCAGAGCAGCGGATGGGAGGAGTGAGATAGGAGGGAGAGAGGCGAAAGGGGGGGCTGAGAGAGAGAGAGAGAGAGAGAGAGAGCGGGGGGCATAGAGTATCCAGTGTAGCCCAGTCTATCCTGCCTACCGTGAAGGTGAAGCAGACCAGGCAAGATAAGCACTTTTTGAATCATTCATTTTTCGCCCACACCAAGAAACTACTAACAGTAAATTATCAGTTCTAATTTGCGTCGGCTTTTGGATTTTATCCTCTCTCGCTCTCTCTACTCTTTCTCTCTCTCTCTCTTTCTCACTCACTCACTCACTAACTCACGCTGTCTCTGTCTCTGTCTCTGTCTCTGTCTCTCTCTCTCTCTTTCTCTGCGTTAGCCAAGGACATGACAATCTGAACTGGGAAACTCAAAACTTTGAAGGGGTCTGACCCAGGAAGAGCTTACAATGATCTCATATCAATCTAACAACAGAGAAGTAAATTCGAGAGTCTGGAAAATATTTTTCTAATCCAGTTAAGCAAAACTGAAGCAAGTTTTCAATTGGAGATCTCTCCCCTGATTGCTCATCTAAAAGAACTATACTATATAAAAAATAAAACAAAATTATTAAAAATCATGGCATATGATGGGTTGATCTCTTCAGGTATTCTGGTGAGACCTCTTGTGTCTGCTGGCCCCAGACAATGGCTTTGACGTTGAGCTCAACTTCCTCAGAGATGCATGAAGGACCATGACTGCGAGAAAATGGCCACGCTGTGAAGGAATAAACTCAGAGTGATCGAACATAGAAGAAATGCCACATGTCAAACTCACCAGTGTAGCTGATGCTGAGGGCGCAAAGGACGGCCACCTGAAGATGGCAGTAGTAGAGGACAGTGGCGGTTGCTGAGACAAGATCCAGAAACAGACATAGATCATGAGCAGAGAGACAAGGTCTGGAAATGATCATTCAATCAGCCATCATACAAAAGGAGAAACTAGAACACTATACATATATATCAATATATATATACACATGTATATATAAGCTGGTAAGCAGCGAGAGAGAGAGAGAGAGAGAGAGAGAGAGAGAAAGAGGAAAATGGAGATGAGATTTAGGATTAACTATAAAATGTGAGAAGAAGAGAGGGGATGGAAGAGGAGAATGACTTCAAGTGGAAAGGAAGGGGGTGGGGGAGGCGGTTGAGGATTCAAGAAGAGGGAGAATCAGAGCAATTTGGTGGAGAGTTTTCTGGGGGTTGAAGAAAAGAAAACTTCGATTAATCCAAATCATTCAAAGGAGACACGGAAGGGACGTTTGGTTTGTTCTCACGGCACAGAAGAAAGATAGGGGCTTTTGATTCGTCTTCCAATTTTCAAGGGCATGGGCCAGTTGGGGCCACAGTAGCATAGCAAAGCTGAGTTCCTTTGAACAGAAAATAACGAAAAATGTGGCAGAAAATGACTCGGATTCATTGTTCAGAACCCCGCAATATTAACATTGGGGTTTCTTCATGCGAATGTCAAAAAATGGAACGAAACGTGTGCATAAAACAATACTTCAGCACATCTATTAGACAGCAGAAAATTATGCATAAAACTTAGAAAAATATTTCGAAATTGGCTAGAAAAGCATATTTTCCTCACTTTTTGTGGATCACAAGGGCTTAATGTTTCCGTGTGCGACTAATTCCTTGATAATACAGAGAAATGGACTACTTCAAAATAATGTTTTGCTAATTGCTGCTGTCGTAACGCACCAAATTATAAGATTACACAGCCTCTGCAATCGACCATCAGCTCTTAGAATTTTCCAACCAGTAAGCTCTTCAAGCCCCATTACCAGAACTGGATTTAGATTTTGTCGTAGCCAGGTCTGACAGCACATATTCCAGCATCTGATTGGCAAATTCCGCAAACCATGAATCCTAATCTGGTACAAACATGGCTGACTAATCTTCAAGATTTTAGGATAAGGATACTACATTCTGGGTCAAGAAGCCACAGCCTTTTTATAAAGGAAATTCAGTAGATTGAGTATCAGAGTACACAGATTAAGCTACCATGAGTTTTATAAGTCCTGGGACATCAGCGGATAGACCGTGGATTAGGAATCTAAAATAGAGCATAATTAGCTCGAAGAAACATCCACATATTTCTGAGTTAGGAAACGGCAAAACAATGGAGTGAACAAGAGGGTAACAAAGAAATACTTTGAAGCTCTTTAGACTTAAATCGATACATATGTGTGCGTGGTTCAGCTGCTTAGTCTTCTCATGATCAATCAAAGATCCCTTCTGGCTGATTTTGATGAATCAACCTCGGTAAATCATCCTACCCACTAAAATTAAATCGTAGTTCATGACCGTCCTCATGGTCAACTGATGCTGAGAAACATTACCAATTATTAAGATGAATCCGTAACATAGAGATTCAGGTTCAAAAAGATCAATATTCTATCAAATCTATATTATAAGTATCTACGCTGAACAACAGCCTTTATCATTCTACATGAACAGTATTTCACACACTGAACTGAAAAACGAAGTCAAAGCGCCCTACTCACCCAACTGGGCGACGCGAACTAAAGCAAACCTGACCCCTGGGTACCTCTGTTCAAGAACCCAAGAATCACTTGCAAACCTGAGAAGCTCCCAGATAGCCAAGCTCGACACCAGACCGAACAGAGCCAAGGGCATCTTATACCTGTAAAAAAAACAGGTCACAATTAGAAGGGGGTCGATCGATACCACGGCAGTTTGATCAATATCGCAACCACTGGGGAGAAGAAAAAGCCTGAAAGTGTGGAAGGGAGGGAAGTAGGGAGGGCCTCACAGCGTACAAGCGAGGACAAGAAGCCAGAGAGAGGCGTAGTTGCGGGCGTAGCGTTTGACGTTCTCCTGAACCCTCATCCTTGCAAGGGAAGGTCCGGCGGGCCACGAGTATGACGATGACTGCCCCCCGGCGGTCAAGAACCCCACGGCCCAAGGCGGGGTGCTGCCGGAGAAATCCTCTGCGTCGAGCCTTGCGAACGGATTGATGGTGAGAATGGATATGAAGGTGCGGACGACTGACAGGAGCGCACCGCCGCGGATGAGGTTCACCACGCCCTTGAGGCCGCCGCTCCCTCTGCCGCCGCCCCAAACGAGGAAGGCGGATGCGGGGTCAGATGAGGAGGACGACGAGGAAGACGCCCCAGTACCAGGAACAGAGGCACCCAAATTGGAGAAGCCCCTGCGGCGGCGCGGGGCCTTCGCAGCGCCTGATGAGGCGGCGGAGGAGGAAGACGACGCCCGTTCATCGAGTATCTCCAGGTAGCCCGTTTCCCGCAGCCACGACTCAAACGCCGGCTCCGGCACGCTCAGAGAGAGGGGATTCGCGGAGAAGACCCCCCCAGCTGGTGGCGCCATAGTTCCTTCCCTCAGCTCTCTCTCTCTCTCTCTCTCTCTCTCTCTCTCTCTCTCTTCTCCTCTCTCTGAGCGTGCCCGGCACAGAAGGCAGCGTTCTGGGCCTGCCACGACCCCCAATATTTCGGGCATCCCCAGAGCACAAAAGTATAGGAACACAATTTTATGCAAATATCTGATAATTTGTTACGACTGTTTTCTAATTAAATAAATCCTTCTGGAACGTATTAACTTATGCAATGAGGAGCTAATGTGCCATTATGACGGATTTTTTTAATTTTTTAATTTTAAAAATTATTCGAGTCCCCAAAAAATAAATTTCCAAACTAATCTTGGCTGCATTTGGGTATTTTACCACTAAAAAATGATATTGTTTTCTTATTTTTTTATTAGAGAAGCCCATTTTTTCAAGGTTTTCTCATTTTCTAATAATTAAAATTTGGATAAAATAGGCCCACACCAATTCTGAACTGCGTAAATAATCAGAATAATATTTTAAATTTTTCGTAAAAGGATTTATTTAAGATAAATTATTAAATTCTCTTGGATAAATTCTTAGCTCTTAGGGGGAAGCTCAATAAATGGGCGGGCGCTTTCTCGCCACACAGAAGGACTGCCACGTGGCCAAAAGGCAGAGTTCTCAGATCCGAACCCATTAAAACTGGGATTTTTTTCCCTACCTATTATAGCCTTACATATTCTCATTTGTACATTTTTGCCATCAGTTACTAATCTCGATCCCTCCGCCGCCACCGCCGCCGCCGTTGCCGCCGTTTCTGGCTTCCTTGTCCGATGGCGAGGAGCAACTGCGTTGTCCCTCAGAACCATCGCAGAACTGAGAGGCCATCCAGCCCACGGGGGTAGGGTTTCTTAGCGACCCTTCTCCCTCTCTCTCCGCACCTTAGAATAATAGTCTGGCATCCATCAAGGCCCCAATTCCGACCTCTCCTCTTCCGCGACTGTCCCCTCGTCTTCTTTCTTTCTCTCTAGTGTTCCTACGGGGGGAGGGGAGGTCGAAATGTTCACACTCCTCGAAAGGGCCAGATTCCTCTGTCTGATTGCTGCTGCATGACTGCGTCAGATCCTCTCTCCCCTGCCCCTGCGACTATATAGTCGGATAATTTAGTGGGTCGCATATTCTGCAGTCCGTTTGCGGTGGAGGGGAAGAACGGAACCCGCATGGCAAAGACGAAGCCGGGGAAGAAGGTCCTTGAATCTTACACCATCAAAGGAACAAATAAGGTTGTGAAAGGTATATCATCTGCAGGCATCGTCTTCGTAAACAAGGGTTTCGATTGCAATGCTGGGCACTAATGGTTGTATCTCTCACCGATTCCTCGTCGATTCGTTGCCGATCTTGTTGCAGCTGGGGACTGTGTGCTGATGCGCCCTTCAGACTCAGACAAGCTGCCATATGTGGCGAGGGTAGAGAAGATCGAGGCAGATCAGCGTGGCAATGTGAGGGTGAGGGTAAGGTGGTACTATCGGCCTGAGGAGTCAATCGGGGGACGGTCCCAGTTCCATGGGGCTAAGGAGCTCTTCCTCTCGGACCATTACGACGTGCAGAGTGCCCACACCATCGAGGGAAAGTGCACCGTTCACTCTTTCAAAAATTACTCCAAACTGGAGAATGTTGGCCCTGAGGATTACTTCTGCCGCTTTGAGTACAAGGCCGCCACTGGTGGCTTCACCCCTGACCGTGTAGCAGTGTACGTTGCCCAAATGACATTTTTTTTCCTTTTGTTGTCTCTGTTACGACTCTGGTGGATCCATTATCTCTTCTCATTAATTAATTTGCCTCTTCTCGTTGATGAAGATATTGCAAATGCGAGATGCCCTATAACCCTGATGATCTCATGGTTCAGTGTGAAGGATGCAAGGATTGGTAAGTAATCTGCTGTTTATTTTTATAGTTTAGGTTGTCAACAGTGTGCCAATACAATTTTTTTGTTTTTTTGAAATTTTTCGGGCATGAAGCAATCACAATTGATTAATATGCCGAGTCCATCATTGGCGTGCATCTTCATTTATTTCATCATAGTTCAGAACTTAAATAAATTTAGCTAGTGAACTTTTTAACTAGGAGAAGGGCACATTCTCATGGAAGGCCACAGAAGTGTGCCCACGTATATATCATTATAAATAAAACGCTTTGAAATTTTATGTGATCTGTTGCTGCACATATATCTTAAATATAACAATGTCGAGATGCTGAAATGAACTATATGCAACGAAATGGCTATACCTTATGAATATGTAAATATATCTTACCAAAGATGCCATCTGTTGTGACTGTAGTGAGGGATGTGAACTAACTCAATGTTGCATTCGAAATTTGGCAAACAAAGACAACCGCCATAATTGACCATGGGCACATTATAAGAATTTTGTGGAAAAATCCATCTTTAAGGATGCAACCCAAGTGCTAGTGCATCAACAAGGTAAAAGTGGGTGCTATGCAAGAGCCCAATAACTGAAGACCGATGAGCAAGAAAGAAGCTGGAGAGAAAATACATAATTTTCAGACGCAGTATGTCTCATAAATAGTAGATTAGTTTTCAGTCTAGGACTCTAGGAATAAAGAATTTGGAGAATGGATGATAGGAAATGTGACCGACAGTGTCTTAACCAGGGTTCAATCAGACATCTTTCAGCTGCACTAACTTCATGCACTAATGCTTTAGATTAAGCTTTTGTCAAATTGAATCCTTCCTAGGGTAGCAGTACTGAAGGGATTAGGCCAATTGACAGCCAGTATAATGCATGAAATCATTGGACTGCACTAACCTCATCCAATTATGCACAGATTGAGTTTGAGTCAAATCAAGTTGTGGGAGTACAGAAGGGGTTGCGCTAGTTTATTGGGAAGTTACTGACTGTCTAATAAAACTTAGTCTTCTTCTTTCACTGTATTTACTACTATTTCAAGGGAATCAATGAAATCAAAGAAGATGGATCTACCACTTGGATGAGTTTATATTCTGAAGAGGTAATTCTATTGTGGTTCAGACCATCCTGACTTAGATGTATGAACTTGGGCTGCAGTATTTTGCAGAAAAGTTTCAAAGATTTTCTTACTGTTTTTGGATGGCTCAAATGCAGTTCATTAGTTTATAATGCGTCAAAATGATTTCCAATCAATTCCAGCCGCATACTGATTTGAGGCATCAGACTGATCACACAATATTTCATCAAAAAATGAGAAATAAATAAAAAATGAAATATGAAGTAATATGTTGATAGATCTCTGTATAAGTAGTGTGGAGGATGGATCGGTGTAATTTTTTTGACTTGAGCTCTCAAAAACTTTATTTCTAATAAAAGGTAATAAAAATGGGATATGAAATCATTAAGGAAATGAAAATATTTTGATAATAAATACAATTTTGAACTTGTAGTATTTAAAGGAAGAACAATCGCTAAGGCATCTTTTCATTGGAAAAGTTTAATTGTCTTTAGAATGGTCATGGGAGAAAGAACGATATTCTTTTGCCGAAGTAACAGCAATGGGGTGTATCAGGAGGTTCAATGAAGTCCATGAATATCTTAGTTCATCTAGAGAATCGGGTCACCTTTCATCTAACAAAGGAGAGAGAATGCTGATGCCAACATAGGATCAAATAAGAAGGATTCTTACTAGAATTGATCTATGCTTGCTAGAGAGTGATGACTCTGATTGCTAGTAAGCATGACATGTACAAATTGATAATATTTGTCAAATAATTTCTTTAATATGGTTCCATCCATTGATAAATGCGAAAAAAAAATTCATGTTTTTTTTAATGTTATTCTATTTTTAAAATAATCAGTTGTTACAATAATAAAAGAATAATGCGGATCTCTAATATCTTTATTCCAATTAGCCATAACCTACAAGTGTGGATATAACCTTTACTTGAATGGTAAAAATAAGATGTGCCTTGTTGCTTCATATCCATCATCACTGGGATACTGTTGAATAAGCAGACACTTCCCTCTAACTGCTGCAGTAGTCTGTTGTGATTATATATTGTTCATGGGATCACAGGCTCCTAACCATCCATCTCAGGAATCTAAGATCTCATCTGGCTGTCGTTTGGTCATCTGCAGCTGTTGTTACCATGCCTCCTTTCCATGCTTCACAGGAACTCTCGAAATGCCATCAAGCCATCTTTTCATCTTTAGAATCAAATCTAATGGGCTCACATTTTGTATCCTTCCATACCTCTTCTCCAGAGGCCTTAGTTATGAATTTGCTACGTTTTTAACAGCCTGGGGCAATGCTAACTATTACCAACAGGGCCACAACTTGCAGTTAAGTTCAACCCGCTTGCTTTTTCCTGATTCAAGTTAAGCACCTTCGAGAAGATGATACCATTGGCTTAATCTTTCATGATGCTCTTGCATTCCAGATGCTTTAGCGGAGTTCTTCTTTCACGAAAAGCAGTAAGCTCATTGCATTTGTGTGTACCTTGAGCACTGTGAGGAAATATCATATCAAGGATCCATAGGATATGCCATTGGTTGTCAGGGGCAAACGGTGCATCTTTCTATCTGCCCTTCTTACGTGAAATAGGCAACAGCAGTTGTTCATGAGTAGTCTCTATGGTTCTGTTTCTCCACTATAATGTTAATGTTCGCACCTACAGAAAAGAAAACTAATATCATGCTTCCAAGAACCAATAAAGAATGCTAAATTTTATGCGATGCTTATTGAATTTTCTTTTCTGCGATTACTGCTTTTAGTATCTTGATAGGTTCGTTGATAAATCTCGGAAGATGTTTGATTTTCATGTTGTCCTACCAATTTTCCCGTAACTTCGTTATGATTTGTCAACTTTTCTTCCTTGCTCTATCTAAATAGGTTTCATCCTTCTTGTATGGGTATGACTATTGAAGAAGCAAAAAAGTTGGAACATTTTGTATGTGCTGATTGTGCTACGAAGGATAAGTCCAAAAGAGCCTTGAGCTCGCTGCCTGTTTCATCTCTCTCTGGAAACAAGGTAAGGATGCTAATATTTGTTACTTGTGGTTTATATAGTGATGCGTTTTGTTCTTTTCCATTAACTAATATCTACGATGATATACACAGAAGAGAGGAAAACAGTTGGGGGGGAGAGTTGCTGGCCATACAGGTGGGTGCGTTAGCTCCTACCAATCTTATTTATAATAGGGAAAACTTTAAAACGATTACATGAAAAAAATACTCCACCCTTTAGGAGCGCTGGGAATGAAGCACAATAAGTAACTAAAGATAAAATGAAAGATATATATGCCGTCATCGTCTTATCCCCCTCATGTTAAGCGTGAATGCCTTGGAGATTTGTTCCTACGACTCTAAGAGGGTGTGCTGTGCGTAAAACAGATGGTGCTGAAACAAGAAAGCATGAGAGATCTCTGATGAAAGCTTTTTGCCCATCTTCCACACCATTCTGTTGACAGGTATGAGATCAAGTTGACTCTTGATGGATACCCTGGCGCTCATAGAAAATTTAGGATCCTCTCAACCTATTCGCAAGTATTATCATCATAGAAGATTACAACATTTTTCTGGAATTGAACTTGAATCAATCAAGTAATAACTTGAATGATTTGAGAAAATTCCTCTTCATTTTAGGTAATAAATCTAGTTATAATGCGAAAATTTTGTCAGAAAATGTGAGGAAATGTCAATGACCATAACGAAAAGAGAGAGGAGTTTGTGGCAGTTGAATTGTACAGTGCTTATCAAGTCAACAAGTTTGATATTTAAGGAACCTGTCATTGGCATCTTTGAAAGAGTAAAATGAACAGAATTCTCAAAGCCATAAAACAAAGCTTAGCCGACATAATAATATTATTAGCACACCAAGTAAAATATATAAATGGTGAAATTCTAGTACGTTTCAGATGATAGTGGCCTTCTACTTAATGGCTATTCCCAATCGTTTGATTGTCCACGAAGTCTTGAAAAACACAGTAATTGGGAATGGAGATAATAGACAAATGATGATTTCTGGCATCATTACTGACTGAAAGACGGTTAAAAGAAAGTTAGAGTGGGTGAAGAACATATGACAGAGGTAGATGATTATCTACTTGAATGGCTCCTTCACGAATAATTATAGATTTAGTACCACTTGCAATGGTTACTTTGAACTATCTTTGACCAAGTGAATACGCAAAAAAAAATGTAGAGGTGCTCGATCGTATGGTGTATAGATCTGGTGTAAATAATCCAAGGGTCATTTAACAGAATTACTAGTAACTCTAAATCTTTTTAATGCCTATTTTAGGTAGAGATTTAGAGATGGTCATAGTAAATTACTAGCGGATCCTCTGCAGGACAGGAATGTCTTCTGAACTGCCTTGGACTTGAGATCTTTGTAGATTCTTCTACTTCAGAAGAAGAAATGGGAGAAATTGCTCTAGACAAGAACAATGTTTTATTTTAACTACTTGTCCACTTTTGAATGCCAGAGATTTCTTGTTTGGATGCAGTACCCCAAAATTTTCTTCATTTTGATCCTCCTTGGTGCAAAGTGTATACAAGCTTCCACATATTCTTTTCTTTGATTGCTTTAATCTGCTCCCCTTTGAAGGGTTAATGATTGCTTGACGTTCATTTTGAACAGCACTTCTGTTACTTGGGCATTCATTCATGCCTTTCCTACTTCTTGCTAGTTACCTTCAAGGCTAGTTTAAGGTCGGAATGCAGAATTTGAGCGTTCTGCATCTCCTATTTAGGGTCAAGTTCCTCGAGGAATGCAATTATCCTATTTCTCTCTTATTATATCCCTCAACACCTCAGACTCCAACTAATCCTTGGATGAATTCCAATCCTCAATAGATTAAGAGTCAAGTTCCTCCCACTTTCTGTGTAGAATGCGAGGGCAACCTTTGACAAACATATTTCCTTGTGTAGTAGCATACACTTCAATTGCAAGCTATAAAGAAAAGCAATGCCCTTTCTTCACCCAAATGTTTCTTCTAGAAGTATTCAATCCTTTCCAGCCATCTTCTTTCATAGAATCGCAGATTGAATCTCAAGGCTAATAGAGTAGATCAGCATTAAAATCATTGCACTATTCTCAAGTTGTCACTCTTCATATTTCAAATATTCCTGGGTAGTAGGTTGGAGCTGCCTGCCGACATAGCCGAACTTGTCAGAACCAGTGATGAAATAATGAGCAGTGGTCTGATTTATCTTCATTGGAGTCAGTTTGAGTGAAATATCTTAGTTATTAGAACAAGATCGGGTCAGAAAAGCCTGTAGATGTACTGCTTGTTGAGTTCCTAGGGGTTGTCCTCACCATGTTCAGTGTGACGAATAGCTAAGAGAAGATATTAGTTGTATGCTTGTCATATGAATTATTGGGCTCGTGAAGCCAAATGCTCGTGCATCACTTGGAAAGCATACTAGTGAGAAGGGAAGAAAAAAGACTAGCCAGTCCCCCTTGGATACCAACTCCTGGGGTACATATTTAAGAAAGGGAGAGAAAGAGGGGTTGGTGAATCTCCCAATCTTGACGCTGAATTAAGTCTCGAACTCTTATACTTCCCAAGTCATTGCTACACATCTTTCTTGATCTATCAACTCAAATGCTCCAAAAGCATGTTAATAGAAAAAGAAGAAAAGAAGATAGCGAGGAGTGGAGACACGGCTATTGAAATGGATGGGTGCATCATATCTTCCAAATCCATTAATAAATCAGGAAACCCTAAAATGGTTTTGAACAAAAATCATAAGAGGTGCTCAGGAAAAAGCATACCTGCATGATTGCATGACAAAAATGTTCTACAACTGAAATAGCTTAAATAAGAAGAATTTATCTCTTCAATGCGTTCTGCGCCAGGACTCAACAGAACAAAATGGTAGGCTCGTGATAACTTCTCTGAGAGATGTGGTTGACTATGGTGCATCCATGATTGGAATATCCCACCCCTGATCGTTAGAAACGCTACGCATGAAATATGATGAATTGTTGAAGATAAAAGAAAGACGGAAGCCATCATCTTATTCATGATTTGTAGGTTACTTGATTGAATTATATTTGGAAATTAGATATGAAAATAACTTCCATCTTAAGACTGCAGACAGTTCTATCCCTGAATTAGTTTGTGGGCAGTGCTTTTTTCTCTGGGCAATCCTTTCCCTTACATCTTCTGACATCTGACTTTTTTACCCTTTTTTTTCGTCTTTTGCTCGTTGATGAGATGAAGGATGCACTAATTTCTCTCACATTTTGTTCCAGCTGCTGTTTACATTGACATTATAAGCCAATCAATTCCTCCCTGTATCTCTATTTTTGTCTGGATCTACCGCAATGCTGTGAGAAATTAGCTGACTAATGGAAGAATAATATAACATGTGTTGCTAAATTTATCTAATTTTATTTAGATACATCTTACATCAAAAATTGTTTTAGAAGAACAAATTCCTCTGTAACACTACATATGTTGTTATCTATACGTAATTCAACGTCAGTATGACTCATGTTTTTCCTACTATCAAATTTAATGTCTAAACAATGGTCTGATTTGATATTTCCCTTGTCACACTTTTGTAAAAAGTATAACATTCGTATGCCACAACATCGTTACTGTCTGAAACTATTCTTGGTATCTCATTGGTTCCACATAAATACAGGATGTTAGGCACCTAAAGCATGTATGGTTTTGGTCATAGCCTGTACCTGGATCTATTGTGTTGGATGAGATGGTCCTTATCATAAATGAGTCGGACACTCGATGGGTGTCCATCTCTTTGCCTGTCTGACTGATTTGGATAACCAACTGGGTTACCAATATGATATAGGATAAAAACTTCAGACTAAATACCATGGATGTGGGTGGTTTATTGGACCCTTGTGTCTAGATGTAACGTACTTGTGTCCGTGTATGCTTTTTGGCTTTGTTGGACCAGTAATATTGGGAATTTTTTTACTGAGTTTGTGTAAGTTTTGGGCAATAGGGATCAGCTGGGTTCTCTCCTGGGATTTGAGATCCTTGAAAACAAATAGGTTGTCTGATGACTCGTTGGCCTTGATTGATTGGTTGAGCTTCGGGAAGCGTGCAGTGAGTAAAGTGGAGCAAGAAGAGTATAGAAATAAACTTAAAAGGAGAAATAAAATTTTGGTAAAGGAAATCAAGATTGATATCTGTTTTGAGTATCGTACTTATTTCTCTTTGATTATGGTTGAGCTGTTGGACCATATCAGAAACCTGGTGCTACAACGTTGCAGTAATATTCGGGCTTAATTTTGATGGCCAAAATTGCTCATCAAATTCAAAACTTCATTTCTCCAAGGAAAGGAGCTCATCTTTACTCGATGTTTCTATGCTGCATGTTATGCTACTTTTCACATGATCCATTTTACACTTCTTTCGTCTTCAGGCTTCCTAACATTTTCACTTTTGCTTGCCTCTGAAGGTCACTGCACAACCCTTTTATGATCTTCCCAAAATATCATCTTCTTTAGATATTGCTTCACCTCATGCCTTCTCTTAAAGCACTAGATGGTGTTTCAACTCCCACAAGTTCTATATATGTTCCCACTCCTTTGAATCTCTTGTTCAATTGCTCTCTGAATTTCCTTACATTATCCGTTTAACGCCATGCTACTACATAGGAGTCCATTTATATTCGCTTTATGCTACCATCAGTCAGCCATATCGTCATCAACTCTCTACAACTTTTATGCTTTCTTGGAGCGTATCAGATCATTTGGTATTAACGTGGGTTTGGGTATATATAATAGATTAAGATACTAAGTGAGGTACTCTAAAAAGGTCTCCTCTTCTGTAGGTATTCTCCCCCTCAATGTCTTGCCCTAAAGCACTGGGTATTGTGTTAGTGATACACGGCAACAAGCTTAACAGGATATTGCCAAAGTATATGTTGTCGAAGTAGGCTAATTCCTTTGTTGTATGGCTCATGGGTTTCCTTGGCCTTTGGAATGTAGACTGAGAAATAGACACTTGCAATCTTCTTCCTAACCGTGATCAGTAAAAGGGTGACTTCGAAATATGAGTCTCAGTATAACTATGAAATGTTTCAGATCTGACGGAAGCAGATATCCCTCTGGCAACCTGTTTTACAACGCCTAAGTTTCTTTTGCAGGTAGAGCCAAAGCGTCGAAAGAGGTGATTTTTGTCATACATTAATAGTCAATATATCTTGTTGCCTGGTGGAGCGCCATTCTTCGCAGTGGAATTGTACAGTGCTGAGAATAGAGTATTGCTTGCACAAACCGAGGGTGATCGTAGGTTCTGTTTCTGATTTGGGTCTGCACGGAATGTGATGGCGGTCGTGTCTGTGCCGGCTGGATGTGGGAATATAAAAGGTTTCATACATACCTCACCAAAGGGATCGTCCCATGAGCTTTGTTTCCTGTGATGTAAATGTTGCTTTTAGAGCTTTTGGCGTGTATGTTTGCATTTTCCTCCCTGAACGCTACAAGAATGATGAAAAGGCTCCTGGAAATCCAACAGCCCATGTTTTGGTTCTCGAATACAAGTTTAGTCCATGCACAGGGGAACCCGGAGATATGCTGAAGGACTAGGCAAAGGGGAAGAAAACGTGCCGAATAGCATTGAAACCAACGCTGAATGTTGGTCTAAGCCCTTAGTATTGAGCTGCAAAATATTGAATAGCCAGAGATGGTGAGGATTATGCAGTGGACAGCTCCACTGTATCTTTTGTCAGTGTCTTGTGAAGGGTTTGGGTGGACGATAGAATGTGGGACTACTGTTCTCACGTGTACTTCCTCTGATGTTTGTGTAAGATTAGAAAACAGTCGGGGGATTAGATTGTCCAAAAATGGCAATTTTTTCTGTTTATTCATAAGAACTGCACATAATGTTAGGAAAAACTGCACTGTACAGTCCTCACTCCCACAGATGATGAACATGATGCTTTCAGAATTCCGGGCTGTTTCTTGGAGCTAAACCAATGGAGAAAAGGTAACTGGTAATAGGTGGAATCATTGGAAATAGAACTATCTTGTGATTAAAAAGACTACAAGAGTTTACTTTTTCTCAGTGATATCATATTTATTCATTAACACCATAAATAAATAAAAATTGTCAAAAATTGTCCCCATTACGCCCCTCCCACCCATTGGTCATCTCTAAAATTCAACTAGGTCCAACATTGGTGATAATAATATTAAATAAAATGAGGATCCCAATCCATGATCACAAGGAAATAGTTGTGTGCAAACAACAAAATCAATAAGTAGAGGTTGATGAGAAATAATCTAAACTCGTTTGGTAGTAGCTAGAAGATGATGTTGTTTGTGATTAAATTGATTTTAAGGTAAAAAATGGGAGAAATTATTGTACAGCAATTTTTCTTTATTTGGACGTGGATGGACCTAAAACATGAGAAAATCATTTCCATTGGTAAGAAAAATTGAATGGAAAGTTGTATTATTTAGTTACCACTCATTATCAAAAAATATCTGAAAAAAAATGTAGACCATGTTACCACTCATTTATTTTCTAAAGAAATATGACAGATCGATATGAACTAATCCATCCCTTGCGCTGATGAGTTGAGCAAAAACAATAGAAATTTATTGAAGTTCTAGGGGGGAAACAGCAGTCACTTCTGAAGTAAATAGGCTCATACTTCTCTCACAGAACAAATGGTGGCTAAAGTTCAGAGATGTGTCCAAAAATCAGAACAAAACAATTAAATCAAGTTTAAAGAAATATAGGATTCTCTGTAATTTATATGGTTAAGGACATTTGAGGATTATCATTAAAGTTTATTAGGGAAGGAAAGTGAAAATAAGATAGAAAATCAAAGTTCAATTGGAATACGAGCTATAATGAAATTCAGTAATTAGCTAGGATTCTTTATTTTGTACGATAAAATATAATGTTTATCACAATTATAAATGGGTAACCAACATGAGAACATGCTTTGTCTTGATGACACTTGATTCTTATAAGATGGTATAGTTTGCTTCTATAAATGTTAAAAGTTATTGCATAAAGACATCGTTGATGGTGAATGGAAATCAACCTAGGCTACAAGTTAGCACTCAGGAATCCAACACATGACATAGATGAGAAAATAACGTTAATGTAAGCTAAGTCTTTAAGCTGATAGTTGATTTGCGATGTGAGAAGACCATTTATTTGTGAATTTTCAAAGACAAGTAAGGTCTTGGATGCTCTCACCAAGCTAATGGTTCACTATATTTTTACTGTTTATTTTTCATGACTATGAGCATTTTCTGAATGGAGATTTTCCTATAAATATTATTTGAATTTCTATATTCAAGGCTCAGCATCATCACACCTATGGAAGCTTTACTTGACAAACTTGTAAGATCTTCACATATATTTTTTGTAATGGCTTTCTGTAGTAGGTATCTACCATTTGATGTGAGTGCTGGATGTTGTTGAAGAATTCTAATGTTGTGAATGAAGGAAATAGGTAAGTTGATAACTTATCTTTGACTTTTGGCCTTTGAAAGAGTCAATTGAACCAAATAATGGTTTTTTAGAAGAGTGGAGATGGTCGGGAAATTAAACCACAAGAAAATTTCGATGTTCATTTTTTTTGCCTACTTACATTGTCAACTTTCAGTTAAAAGAAAAACCAATTATCAGTGGTCAATGTGAAAGGAACATTTCGTCCACTCCTTGTTACTCAATGACTCGTGGGGCTAACGTAGCATGATAGCAGATTGACTATTTATTTTGACCCCAAAGAAGCTTACATAGTCATATAATAAACTATAAAAAGACTTTGCAGCAACATTGCACTAACTTATAACGAAGAGAGATGAGGGAAATTGTAGTGCAAGAAAATGCATATGATTTATTTCTTTCAAATTCTGGAAAAAGAGACCGTCAACTAGGCATGAAGTGAAATTTCAACTTTCTAAATTTGACTGTATATTCATTTTCTATAAACAAAAAATAACTATAAAAATTAATTGTTTAAAATTTTTCATAAATATGAAATTATAACAAAAACGAGATCATGTGATATTAATAGAAAAAGATGGTAAAAGGTAAATGCTCATAGACAGGTGGGAAGATCTTGATAAAAGGAAAGAGAAATAAATAGTATGCTATAGATTTGAAAAATTAGTCATGGATGGAAATGTCAATGGAGACTTTAATAAACATTGCGACATCCATATGGGCAACCCAAACTAAAAAACTATATTTAAACTTCAGAACCCATTTAATGAATTCTGATCATTACAAAACCTCAATGTTAGCGCAAATATGTTTCGTGAGTTCTAGGGAAGGAAATTGAAGTTTTATACCCAAAATATGAATAAAATATAAAAATTTGATACCCCATACTTATTTTACAATAGATTTAGAAACAAGTTAATTTTTTTGCAAAAATATGAACCATCTAGAGAGAGAGAGAGCGAGGGAAGGGAGGGAGGGAGGGAGAAGGGATAACAGTCGAAGGGGTACACTAGGTGCCTCGTGAACTCCCCTGCTCTCGTTCGGTAACCGTCGAGTTGACTGACGTCTCACACGCCACCACCTGTCTGGAGCACTGTCGGCATTCATAGACAAGCAGAGGACCGTTACGTACTGCCATGAGCGTTTTTTTTATATATACTGATTATCTATGAAGCAGTCGTATCTCGGGTCAAACAGGGGTCTACTCTGATAATTTCACTCCCGTTTGAAGACAGTGTATTTGCAAATGGGTTTCTTCTGGGACAGAATATCGGGGTCTTTCTATCAATCGTGGACCTGCCTCTCCACAATGACCAACTCACCCGAACATTCTTTTCTTTCCCCATCATTGTCACAGCTCCGTCGCTATTGTACCAAGGTTTTTGCCCTTCTTCTCCTTCCTCTTCTTCTTCAAGCGGTCAGTATTCCTGCTCCTGGCGCAGGAGAAGATCGTGCAATATATCTGGTGCATGTGGAAGGTGACGGCCCTGTGGCGTTTGAACCGGAACACGCAGAAAAATTCTCCAACAGAAGGTAAGTAAAATACGATTTCAACGTAAGGATAAATGGATGACTGATAAGACCTGTTCAACTTGTGATCGCAGTGGATCTTCCGTGTCTCTTGCCAAGAACTTAGTTGATCTCCACGACGAGCTCCTCCAGAGCAGTCTAGCTGAGGGCACGTACCAGAAGCTGTACAGTTTCAACCACATTTTCAATGGCTTTGCCGTCCACACAACTCCATCCCAGGTGGTCTCCACCTTTCTCTCTCTCCCCAGCAAAACACATCTGGCTTCTACTAGTTAGAGTGACCCTCAACTGAAGGGATAATAGTTACAACATTACGCAGGCAATAGATAGTCGTAAATGACGCAGAAATCGATTGGAAATCAGTAGATGGGAGAAGTCTGATAAGGGTAAACCGATTTTGAGCTGAAGATTTATGTGCATCTTCATGGGTTTATATCAACCAAGAAATTTGTGACCTGTACGCCATGTGAAATTATATCTTGAAGAATAACCCTATTCAGGTTGCCGACGTGAAGGCATGTTCTTGTTTTCCCAAGGTTACCATGAGAAAGCAGTCACACCGCATCGGGTTTCTGGGAAGCCACCGCCCGTAACGACAACTTTCCTACAGCCGTCTCCGCGGGGCCGGCGGATCAGTTTTCTTCCTCTAAGCTTCCCACGGAAATGGCGGTCTTTTGCCGTCCCACAGAAAAAAAGACTTGCCTCCTCGGCAAGCTGTGTAGACTAGGAACGCCGCGGTCTCTCTGAAATGAAGTATTCCTTGGAATAACTTTTTTTTCGGACATAAAAATCAGCATGTTTACGCGGATTTCCTGTCCCTACTACAGGCGGGAAGACTGGCGGCAGCCCCTGGGGTGAAGCTATTGGAGAGAGACAGACAAGCCAAGCTGATGACGACGTACACCCCTGCATTCCTGGGCTTACCTGGCGTGTGGGCAGAGGGTGGAGGGGAGAAGACCGCCGGAGAGGGGGTTGTAATAGGGATCATAGATACGGGTATCAACCCGGCCCATCCGAGCTTCGCCAATGATCCAGAAAACCCCTTTCGACCAGATTGGAGGCCTCAGTTTGACGGTGCCTGCGAGATGAGTTCACTGGCCGGGGCTCTTTGCAATGGAAAAATAGTATCAGCGAGGCACTTCTCCGCCGGCGCAGCAGCGGTGTTTCCCCTCAACGCGTCAAGGGAGCTGTCGCCTGTGGACGAGGTCGGGCATGGAACGTGAGTCGACCCCCCATTGCTCACTGAGTTCGAAGAAAGTAATAGTATTTGTTGTTCATTATGTATGAGATGATCAAGTAAAAACCATTCCGGTCTTGCAGCCATGTGGCCTCTGTTGCTGCTGGGAACTGGGGAGTTCCAGTTGTTGTTGGTGGCTTCAAATATGGTACAGCAAGCGGAATGGCTCCCCGTGCAAGGCATGATCGTCGCATATCTTTTTCTAAGCTTCTTGACGGGGTGTTGCAGAAAACTCTCTTCAGTAAGCTCCAATGGAGCAGGCTTAATTTCAATAAGTCACTCACGCCATTCGGTTTGTGCTCGTTGAACAGAATTGCCGTTTACAAGGCCATCTATCCAGAAGGCGGGACTACTGCAGACGTGATTAGTGCTATTGATCAAGTAAGTTTCCTTGTTTAGTTAGCAGCTGAAAGGGATTATAAACAGAAGATGTGCTGGAGCAATTTGATATAAGGAAAAGAATATCCTCTAGCATGTTCACAAACTCCGTTCCCTTGTCCATAAGATAGATGATCAATCACCAGCAGGTAAAAGAAAAGACCCCATCCTTTGAAACTTTTTCCCGAATTTATGCAAACCAAAGCGAGGTATTTCTTAGCTTAAATAAACATGATTCCACCACTCTTATTGTCTTGAAAAAATTAAACTAGCCCTGCCATGAAGACCGAAGAAATACCTCGGTAATACTTTGGTTCGAATGTCTTCAGGAAATCATTTCGATCATTTCATCACAATAGCTCACTAAGAGTCCTCCTTCGGTCAAGATTTTTGTACCAATCTGACGGCACGGTAGTAAATCTCTGTTGATTTGCGCGTGTAGGCTGCTCAAGATGGAGTACATATATTGATCCTTTCTATTGGTCCAGACGAACCCCCGGAAGGCATACCAAGTTTACTGAGCGCGTTTGAAATTTCTCTACTATTTGCTCGAAGGGCTGGTATATTCGTAGTTCAAGCTGGAGGAAATAAAGGACCAAGTGAATCAACGACCATCTCAGTCAGCCCGTGGACCGTCGGAGCAGCTGCCGGTACGACGGACAGGAAATTCCAAGCTACCATCAAACTTGACGACGGTATCATACTTCAGGGTGTTGGTTTGACAGGCACGTTCCGCTTCTTTACTCTCACCAGCCACTCTTTTGATAGATCTCGCTATGCTTTATTCATAAAATTGAGAGTATAACAAATGCGACGCAACAGATGTCTCTACTCTTCCACAGTTCGTAAAATCCCTTCATTAACCCTTCGTTAACATTAATTTATTTTACATGCACATAAAAATGCGGACAAATATTACTTTGTGCTAATCGACGTGTAATACACCGTTGGAAGAAAGCTAGAAGTTAAAGATGTCAAACAATCGATTGTCTGCATGTCCTCTAGATCGGTACCATCTAGAGAACGCTTTTCGCAGGGCTCCTTTGAAAATCAATGATACACTTGACTTATGAAAATTGCGTCCACGATGGCATGTGAAGAGAAAACTGTCAAGATCTGTTGGATGTGTACGATGAGGGGAAATTAAACAGAAAAAGATGGTGTCTTAGACGAAACTCTACTGATCCCATAAAAATAACGAGCAGTGCATCTCAGAGAGTAGATCATACATTGTGAATTATGATATTGGATATTGTTGCATTATGATATTTATATAACTCGTGAAAGTTTAATGCATCCCGAACACAGGAAAAATTGTCTCGTGATTTGTTTGATTGGCATAGAATTAACCCGAAGAGACGTCTATGTAGATTTCTTCATAACTTATTAGACGTTATAGTTATCGACTCAATTTGTTGCACTGATATTCACCTCCAATCCAGGACCCTCTTATAAGGACGGTTTTCCATTCAAACCGCTTGTGGCGGCGAAAGATGCCATTGCCAAACAGAGAGGCTCACAGATAAGTCCAGCCTACGCCGATGAATGCCAGCATCCCGAGGCACTGGAACCTGCTGTGGTGCAAGGAACCATTGTTATTTGCAACTTCTCAGTTGGCTTCTTCAATGGGAGCTCAACGGTGACTTCTACCCTGAACACAGCCAAGGTACTGGGTTTCGCGGGCTTTATACTGGTGGCTAACCCAATCCTCGGAGATTTCGTTGCCGAGCCACTACCCTTCACTATCCCCGGCATAATGATTCCCAAGGTTTCTGATGTCCAGGTAAATATAGTGAGAAAAGGCTTGATAATGCCTAGACATTAGTTCTTGTTTGGACCCCCCGCATCAAACTCACGCTAGAGTTCACGTACATCTTCAAAATGTTTGTAGATTCTGCTGGATTACTATGAAAAGACCACGTATCGAGATCCAGAAAGGACTGTGACTAGGTACGGTGGTAGGGCATCGATCGGCGAAGGAAGAATCGCTTCTTTCGACGAAGGAGCTCCCGTGGTGGCCAGGTTCTCATCAAGAGGGCCGGATGTCGTAGACCGTCAAATGAACGCAGTAGACGTTCTGAAGCCAGATATACTGGCCCCAGGGAGCCAAATTTGGGCGGCTTGGAGCCCTATTAGTGCCCTTGAACCCATACTACGAGGTGAGGCTTGTGAAGAATGTGGTTCAGATTAGCACTGAAAGTTCCCTGACCTATGTCTTTCGGTCAATTTACATTATCTGGTGATGAATTGAGAAAACTGTGCAGGTGAGGATTTTGCGCTGCTATCAGGTACAAGCATGGCAGCCCCTCACATAGCAGGAATCGCGGCCCTTATAAAGCAATTCAAGCCTACATGGGACCCTTCTGAGATCGCTTCTGCCATTTCCACCACAGCATCAGGTTACGATGGCAACGGAATCCCCATCATGTCCCAGGGATCAGATCCTCAAAGCCTATATCCCTCCACCCCCTTTGACCGTGGGGCAGGCCTTGTGAACCCTTCCAGAGCTCTCAATCCAGGATTGGTCTTCCCTTCAGGTACAACGAACTAGGCTACATGACAGACCTCCTTCATTCAAATTCGATTTAGGCAAATGTTGATCTTCCTAGAAATAATTTATCCTCAACTTTACTTGCCTTTGCCTCCGAACAGTCACGTAGCTCATTTCATCAAATAGCCTAAGAACCGCCCCTGTAAAATTTAAATCGGAAGAAACGATGTCACTAGCATGGAATAATGTTGCAGGGTTCAAGGACTACATTAGCTTCTTATGCTCCTCACCCAGCGTGGACCGGGAGATGGTGAAGAGCACCACCAACAGAGCTTGTGGCAGCCCCGAGTCGTCTCCGGCAGACTTGAATCTTCCCTCAATAACAATTGCTTCTCTGAGAGGACTCCAAATGGTGAGACGAAGAGTCAAGAATATGGGCGACGTGCCGGAGACGTACTTGAGTTCTGTGCGTCAGCCGAGAGGGGTCCGCGTTTATCTCAAGCCTTCGTTGTTCACAATACAGCCGCAGGGAACCCAAGACATACAGATCGAGCTTAAAGTGACGGAGGCGTTAGAAGGGTTCAGTTTTGGTGAGATTGTTCTTGTCGGAAGTTTGGATCACATTGTCAGGTTACCCATGTCCATCTTTCCTGTTGCAGTAATCTAAGCCGCAGTTATTGTTGTTGTCTCCTACTTTTGTGTCTCACATATTAAAAAGGAAAAACACTGCAAAATAGACCAGTATGTCCAGATAATCATGGTGGAAAATCCCTAAATATGGTTTGGTTTCACTGAGCTGTAGAATCGTTACGACAGATTCATAGCCATTGTTGGGTCTCGAGCGTGCTGCTGTATTGGTATATCATATTTTCTGCGACAGTAGCTGAACAAGTTCTTAGTGATTTTGACGGTCTGTTCGATAACCACATATGATAGGTATTCCAACTTTATCCTAGATCCCCTATCTCTAGGTAAACACTTATTATTATGCTTGATTATTTTTTGGGTTCATTGGTAGAAAATATAATGTGGTTTTCAAATTGAAAGGATTAAGATTTCATATTGGAGAAAATTTATTCCCATTTTGAACTTACTTAATTTCCGACAAAGACCTAAATTTCCTCAATTATTCAAAACTGTATTAGGTTTGATTCGGTAAAATCTCACACATATTTCAACTTGAACAGACATATTCGTGTTACAATTTTAGTTACATAAAATATGTAAGTACGCTTGAAACTCTATACGAATTATCTTCATTTATTGCCCTTTATCTCATAACTTGGTGCTTATGTCTTCTCTCTGAAACTTTTTCCCTATAACTATAATTTAAAATTTAACATTTAAACATGTATGTGGTCGCTATAACTTTGTATACACGTATTTACAGTTTCTCAAGGTAACTATTTGCTCGTAATATTTTTCATGCAAGTATCTATATAAGTTAGGATGCGTCAGAATTGTAATGAACCCATATTTAGTTGGCTGAAAACAGAGGCTCGAGAAGATTGATTCCTTTAGTTTAGAACTATCCACATCTATCTTATTTTGAAGAGAGAGAAATGAACAAATCAGGTCCTGAGAAATTTTGATGTAAAAATCAACCAGAAAAAATAGGAGATTGAGTTCTCAAGTAGATAAAAGTTTTCCACATGGGAGAGGAGTATGATGAGCATCCTAATCCTAGTTCTTCTAAGAATTGTGAAGGTACTAAAGGGAAAGGCTTAGAAGCCAAAGAAAAGATTGATGATAATGAGTAATAATATAGGGATGAAAGGGTAGCAGGTGCTAATTGTCCAAATCTGAGCACGAGCTCATCAATAAAGTAACCAATTAAGAAATGGTAGAACTGATAGCATACTAATTATGTTAATTTATATGGGTATTTATGCACATTTTATATTATTATAATTATGATATTATTTAAATATTATAATTTTGTGCACTTATAATGAAATTGGATTTTTTAATGATTATTTATTTTCTCACATTTTTATTTTCAGTTTTAATATCAGTGCCTTGACACATGAGTATTTCAATTATAAATTATAATCTATTTTATTGTTATGATTTATTATGTGTCTCCTAAGACCTAAGTCAAATCAAGTATAAATGAGTCTAAATTTAGCAAGTTGATTTTCCCTCTATGTTTAATTTATTATATTTTTTATTTGAGGGGTAATGGGCATTGTTTTTAGAATCGTTTAATGAGGAGGCCCACCAGGAAGTAAGGAGGTGCTCCCCTTCAAATTAAGGAAACTGCCCACTTAAGGTGAGTGGTTTGTTCCTTCTTTAATTTGGGGGGGGAGGGGGCAAAGGGGGTTATGTGCCCCTCTCAAATGTAACGAATGACTTCTCTTATTGATCCAGATAAGGATAACAGGTTGACCTAGGAGGTGAGATCATCCCTTCCACCATCATTTCATCCTCTTTAAGTCTTATTTGAACCCTTAAGTCATCAAAGTAGATCAAAGATGAGGTAGGCTAGATTTAGAATAGAAGTAGTTATGATTCCTCATCGTATTGAACTTGTGAGTGACACAATTGATCTAGGGAGAGGAACTATAGTAGAATAGCTTTCAGACCTATCTTGGATCTCCTAATCATCTTTTGACCCAGTCACTAGAATCATCCTTGATTAGACAACTCCTTGTAGATCAACCTGAATTTTTCGTTATCTTAGTTATTATGTTGGAAATTCAGGTTATAAATTATTATTTTTTCATCAGCCTTAATGTCCATGATTTAGGACAATAAAAAAATTGATGTCATTATAGACTGAATTTCCAAGAAGATAACTAATTTTGATTCGTCCTAAATCACTACTACTAAGGCTGATAAAAAAATAACAATTTATAAACTGAATTTTCAGCAAGATGTATGGTGAAAAATTTAGGTTGAGCCATAGGGAGTTGTCTAATTAAAGATGATTCTAATGAAGAGTTCTATTGGTTGAGATTGAAGAAGAACAAGGTGAAAGTGATAGAAGGAGTTGACTTTGGAAAATAAGAGGGAGATTAGATGAATCTCACCTTGATGATTTTTCAATCACCAAAGGAGAGATAATAAGGTAGGAAACATATAATAATCACAAGATGGAGGGTTTTGATAATCTAGATAAAGATAAATATAATTTACTCCTATCTCTACCTAATCGTGCCTCTCTCTTCTCTACCTTAATCTCTTGATCAACTTTGATGAATCAAAGGGTCAAAAGATGATTAGGGGATCTAAAATAAGTCTGAAAGTTATTATACTATGATTCCTCTCCCTAGGCTAATTTTGTGTCACTCACAAAGTCAATAGGATGAGGAGCCCTAACTACTCCTATTCTAAATCTAGTCTACCCCCTTTTTACTCTACTTTAAATTGTGGTCAACTTTGATGGCTAAGAGTTAAGACAAGACTAAAAGAGGAAAAAAATGAAGGTGGAAGGGATGATCTCTCCTCCTAGGTCAGCCTATTATCCTCCTAGGGATCAATAGGAGAACATGATTATATTATTCCTCTTGAATCACTTGGTCTCACTCCAAGATTCCACAAGAGCAGAAAATATCATAAAACGAAATTTCATTCATCAAAGTAAAATATAATATATCATTAACTAACCAGATACATGAAATATCCATTTTGTATGTTTTTTGGAGTACTCAAATGGATCCTTCCTTGGAGTATCAAGTGATGACTCAAGGATAAAGTTCTTGAAAATCTCATCTTCTCTCTCTTGACTACCCCTCTCTAATGCAAAGAATGACCTCTCTCTCTTCAAAAGATATATCCATTTATCTTCATGAAGAGTAAATCTCAGTCCTTGATGCACATCTCGTAGATTAATCTCTACCGCTGTAGAGAGGTAAGAAGTGGGCGGTGCCTCTTAGGGTTGTGGGATCTTCAATGCCTTGATTTGATCACATCCCCTGATGTTGAATGGTTGAGATTGAGTCTTGAGGAATTGATCCTGGTAGGGGGAGTCGCGGTTGATCAGGTGGTGCCACATACCCCTCCCCCCCTCCCAATTAAGGAACAAATCGCCCACCTTAAAGGGGGCAGTTTACTTAATGTGAGGGAGGAGCCTCCTTAAATGATGTGTGCTGTCCAACTGGCCCATGGGCCTGGTATGACCTGAAGTATAATATTAAAATAACTCCCATTACCCCTTAAATAAATAAATATAATAAATTAAGCATAAAGGGAAAATCAACTTGCTAAATTTAGACTCATTTATACATGATCTGACTAGGACTTAGAAGACATAATAGATCACAAGTCAAATAGATTATGATTTATAATTCAAATATTCATAATTCAAGGCACATATGAAAATTGAAAATCAAAAATTGAGAAAATAAATAATCACTAAAAATACTCTACTTCATTATAAGTGCACAAAATTGGTTTCTTATGCCTTAAATTCAATCATCAATACAAAAAAGCATAATCCATACTATAAATGTAATAATATGCTAATTATAATCATATAAACATCTAAATTGTGCATAATAGCCCATATAAATTAATAGAATTAGCATGTTATTAAGAACAAGTATAAATAAAACATGAAAAACTATGTTTGGGCTTGAAACTCAACAATGATTTGTTTCCAAAGAAATAACTTTTAAGCTGCAGATGAAAGAAAAGAGGTATGTATTAGGAGACATGAATACCTAGAACTAGTTGTTTGGTCAATGTTGTAGGGATATGTCTATTATACTGTCCATATACCTTAAGCTTTTTGTAGTTATATGTCTGTGTCTAGAACCTTCAAAGTGTCTAATATTTGTATGTTAATTTTTTCTTCTATCAAATAAGAGAGGTTTTTCTCTCCATGGGCATTGTGGTTACTTGTCAGCACACCATATCATATTCAAATCTTCTACATGGTAGTATAGCAAATCCAAGTGCAATCACTCCTTTCCTTCCTTCCATAGTGTTCAATTCTCCGAAAATTATAGTTCATGTATCGTTTTTCCTTAGTCTCCATTGAGATCTATTGAGAAAATACCAAATCTGGTGAATCTGACTGTTTTCTTGAAATGTCAAATGTGGGAGATATTTCTCCATATGTGAGAGATCCTCCTTCCATGAGGGATTCTAACATTGGTCCCAATGTTCTACAACTACTAATAGAACTCAATTTGATACTTTCAAATATCAAATTCACTTGATATAATTTGATATAATGGTCAGAATATGTTCAAGAGGTTCTAACTAGGAGATGAATATTACATTATCTAAAAGAGGGGAAACCAAATCCCTTGTCTCATTATACCATAGATAGAGAGGAGGATGCACTATGTTTCCCTAAATTAGTTGAGATTTTTTCTTTTTTGCAACTTTTAAAGATTTGTGGGAAACAATTCACATGAAATTCTCACAAAAGAATAATAAGGCTCATATATATGAACTAGAGACAAAATCCACATTTATAATGTAAGGAAATAAATTTGTGATGAAATATTACCTAACTCGACACATAAAACCTAAGGAGATTATTATTGTATGAAGTTTTATATATTTTTTTTAGGACCTCACTCTATTTCTGATTGTTAGACAACAAATTTTGAGCCATCAAAGGAAGTATGATCTAGATAATGTTATTTCAATCATTTTGAATGAGAAACACTGTTAGAAATTAATGTTATCAATCATGAGGTTGATAATCCTACA